CAGTGGAGCTGAAAATTTTTTTTGGTACCAATAGTAGTGGTGTGACAAAAAAAACTGTACTTTATTTGGCAACCATATTTAATTTGGCAACCATTTTTTTTATAGTTGTGTCTTTGGTTACGGCGTGAAATTAAATATTTCAGGAACTGGGGTGCTTCAGTTTTTCCTTCATCAGGTTTTCTTGTCTCCAAAGGCTAGAATTAATTTTGGCCAGAGTTTCAGTAAGAGACCACATATCAAGATTGTTTTTCACTTTCAGGTCACATTTCTTGTGTGTACGCCACCTTTTTAAGTGACCTCAGATGTGTTCATTTGTTTTAGTTCAACTGCTCTTCATTTGTAGGTCAAGCTGAAAATCGGCTAATTCTGACCAAAACCTGGTTGTTGATGCATCTTTAGTATTTGTTTAGGCATTGGTAAGGCAAGGCAAAGAGAATAAGAAAGACATTTAGGAGGTCTCGTAGGAATGTATGGATTCAAAAAAAACAAACCCAATGAAATTAGCAACTTATTCTTGAGTTTTTTTCACTAGATTGTGCATCATTAAACTGACCAATTCTCCTTCATCTGGGTTTGCACGTTTTAAGAGGACAGGATCCATTTACTCTGAACCTACGCTGGGGTAGGATTCATTGTTTAATACCGAGTTAGTCGGAAGATAACTGTCTTCTTAATTAAGAGTTTTACCTCTTCAATATGTTCTTTTGAATGTTGTGTAATGCAAAGATAAATTGGATCAGATGCCTTACTCAGGGTCACTTCAACACCCCCGTGAGGTTTGCAAGATTCAGCAACAACTTTTTTTTTTTTTTTTCACAAGATGACATTTTTCATATGTGCCACCTTTATTAGCGCCTGATGTGTTTCATTATATTTATTCCAGACCATTTGAAGCCATCATTAGCAGGAGGCTGATGTGGCACAAGGCCCTGCTAAATTGAACAGCTATTTATTTATCTTGAATGGCCACGTGTTGAATGATATGCCCAGTTGCCACGCTCCCTCATCAAAGCTTTTAAATATGTGGAGAAAAGAGACGTGGGCTCGTCTGAAGAGAAATGGGTCCTAATTCACCTGTACCACCCCTATTACGCAGCGGTCTGTCATCGGCTCTTTAAATCCTCTATAAATCTCATATTCAGAATTAAGCTGATGAAAACACAAGTGGGTTTCTGGAAATGTGTGTGTGGTTTGTGTGTGTGGATGAAATAGTGACCAGGTTGAGCAACAAGGACGCCTGGGTGGTTTGTTCATGAACAAAATCTAATTAGAGGCTTTGAACAACCTTTTTTTTTCTGTTTTTAACAGTTCAGATTAATTTTTTTTTGTTTTTTATAGCTAAAGTTTTATTCGACACAAACATTCTCAAAATATAGACTTTTCAGTATATCCTGCTAATTAATGTCTCAGTCCCGACTTTCTTCCTCATTGTAGTCAATTTCCTTAATTTGTCTTCCCTTTGCCTTATGCCTTTTCCTTCTCATTGATTTCCAGTCAAAATTATGTGGCAATCATTTTTTGTCTTATAAAGCCCAGTTTAATAATGATTGATCTCCGTCAAGTTTCAATCTGTCTTTCTTTCAATTGTTGACAATCTCATTGAGGTTGATTCAGATTTCTGTACAAGAATGGCGAGTAAAATGATGTAACCAGCGGCATTTTTTCTGCACTTTCTGCTGTGTACAGCTAATTATTTGTAGTAGAAGAAGAGGCGATATCGCACTGCGCGTGTGAGGAATCTGACTCTAAAGCCTTTATCAAAACGGACAATTAGAGTTTAGATCTTAAATATTTTAGCTTCTCTTAGCGTTGAGAGATGCTGTCATTGCCAAAGCAAGAAATTCCTCACTGGAACGTGTCCTTAGCATGAAGTATTTGCCTGTACTTGGGTTGTGCTCAATAATCAGAAAAATTAAGAAACATTTTTGCTTGTAGCCACGTGTACCAATCAATTTTTCAAGAAGCTAAACTTAACTGTCTGGTTTATGTCTGTGCCATTTCGATCGCTAATGAGTGCTTTCCAGTTTTGAACAAAACTTGTTGCACATTGCATGTTGAGGTCTACTCATTCAGTCCTATTAAATGTCTTATGGCACGTCAGGACACTTCCATTGCTCTTATGAAAGCAGCTTAAATATCAGCTTGTTGTGGAAGACTGGTGTGTTGTAAGAAAATGCAGCATTGCCAAATGTGTTTTGAATCTGCACTTACTTGCCTTTAAAAGCAAACATTACGCTAGAAGCAGCTCTCCGACATTTTCATTTAATTCTGCAGTCATTTTAAGGTTATTTTTTTAAGATATCTGTTTTTAATAATTTCCTCTATGGCACATCTCTTTGTCGGTACTATGTGCTACGTTTTGCTTATTTGTGGCAGAAACGCTGTTTTGCAGCTCTTGCAGTTTTTGTGGCGTTTCCTTGAAAACCTGAACATTAAAGTTTTCTTGCCATCTCTTCAAACTGAGACAGGCTCGTAATTGCTACTAGAAATGTCTTTGAAATTGAATTTTTGTCACTTTGAAATGAAATTATTGTTCACTTGTTTTTTTTTTTTTTTTTTTTTTTGTTTCCTTCTCGCCCCACTGCAGCATGTGTGTAACCTCAAGAAAGCTCTTTGACAGAACACCGACTGCCCCTTTCTTTTTAATTAAAACTGTAAGAAACAAAACAACCACACACTTTTCTGTACCAAATAAGCAAAGACAGGGATTTTACTGCACCATTTCAATTTCAATGTAAATATTTTAATCTGCGAAATGAAGGGAATGTGGCCAAGGTGGGAAGAAAGATTGTGGCAGTAACTCCAAAGTAAGTTAAAATTATTGAATCGATTTGTGGGCACTTAAATCCAAATGAATGTTTCTGGTGAAATCAACGTGCTTCCCCCACCCCTCTTTAGTCAAGTTTCTAATCAGTGGTCTCCCCACTTAGTGGAGTAAACAACGGCAGGTTAAGGCAATAAAACACAGCTTTGGCAAGTTTCATCTGGGGGCTTTCATTTGACAGAATGTGCCTGTGGATTTGACTGGCAAGGTGAAATAAGAAAGGAGGCTACTACCGAGTGTGAAAGCTCGAAACTGCATTCAGTCGCAGACACACATTTGTTGTGTGGGCAATAGCTGCTGCAAAACCACCTGCAGTTCCATATTTACCACAGCTTGGGCAAACAGCAGTGAGCGAAGGCTCCGCAGGCACCTGCTGTGTCCTGGTACATGATGCTGTCTGTACGCCGCGATGATATTGTGTGATCATGTTTTCCTGAGACAAAACGCTGTTCTTCCTCGGCACATTGTTTTCGGAGGTGTTTGTGTGTTGAGGGGACAAAGTGCATATGAAACTGGCAGAAAGCTAAGTACTTTAAATAAACCTTGTTCTTGGCCTCAATCTTTATTTACCCCCCATCTGAGCAGAACAGTGGTCGTTTTTTGATATTAAGTCAGTTAAATCCAAAATAGCACGGCCTTTTTATAACTGGAACACAGATCTGAGTCACACACAAACACCTACACTGCACATGGTCTTAGCTGGAGGCAGTTTTTTTTATTTTTTATGTTTTACCCCAATAGCTGAACTCCAGAAATACCTTGATATGTCTGAGATTATGAATCACAGTTCACTGTTAGAGTTGCTGATGCAATTGCCAATTTGTGAGCAATAGTGATACATGCAGCTCACAAGACAAAAAGACAATATTAGGTTCTCAATTTTTTGTTAAACATTTCACGATTAAAAGATATTCTTTGAGTAGATATTTTACCGATCATAAATACTTCCAGTAGGATTTGATTAGTGTGTTTACAGATTTTTTTCCCCTTTGAATTTCAGCTTGTCTTCAGATCCAAATGCAGCACAAATGCTCAATGCCATTGTATTCATAAGTAGAATAAAAGCTTAATAAAAATCAAACTGTTTTTCAAACATTCTTCAGTGTTTAATTAGCCAGCTCAGGGTTATCGTTAGATTTTCACTGGAAAATGGCTAAAAAGTCTAAAATGTAAGAATATTCTCAGTGTGGTTAAGTAAACTGAACCAAATATAATTATTTATTTCCTGCCTCATTGTCTTCATCCATTAAAACCCGGATAAAGTGAACTTGGATAAAATTTACATCATCACCACAGGTCAGCTCAGACTTAATTGTTCACACCAAAATAAAGACCTGAACACGTAAACATGGTTGCCAAGCTTACAGTGCTTTCATATTATGGGGTCATAGTTCAAAAATTGCTTCGCCAGATGAAGCATTGCTAATGTAGCCACTGGATCTGATTGTGTGGGAGCATTTTAATACCACAGGATCCCATGCTGGCACAATCATGGAATCACATTGAATAAATAGTTGATATCGCTGTCAGGACTGAGACGGCAGAATGGAAAATCTGAAAACCTGGGTACAATCGGTCATGGCATGTTTTACGCTACATTATAAATGTCTGTTGGCATCGTCTTGAAATGCTTAAACTGTGTTTAGAAGGTGCTGCTCTTTTTAGTGATTTATTCAAGTGTATAAAAGTTCATTTTTGAATGTTAGTTGGTTAGTGTCTGATGAATTTTTGTCAAAAATATAGTTTTTTATGCATATGTTTGAATTTTATACCACTTTTCATAATCACTGTAGAAAACCTTGGTGTTTGGACCCCCTATAGGCCCTGAGGCAACTAACCCAGATGGGGTTCTGGGAGCTGGGTGGGTCCGATTTTATGATTAATATGTAGTCGGGGACCACCAAGCTCCCACAGACATTTTTTCTCCCCAAAAATAATAAAAAGTCATGACATGGAGAGTTAAAATGTGATTCTCTCTGACAGCAGGCTGTGTATTAGAAACGTTCCTGACCCTGACCTTAACATAAATTCCTGGTTTATATGCACTATTGTGTTGGGGTTATGTTAACCACTCAAATGCTGTTGAGCTCCAGTGTTTGTGGCCTTTAGAGTGCACTGCTACATACATTTAACTTCATTAATAATGAAACACGTTCTCCTTTCCTGTTCCCAACAGAGATGGCAAGCTGGGTCTCCCTTCTTCTCGTCCTCTTATGCCGATCGATATCACAAGCCCAGGAGGAGAGCAGCAACGCCCCTCACCCGGTTTTCAACTCTGAGTCCACCATTAATAATGTGGTTCAAGACCCCCAGACGGGCCGTATTTATCTGGGAGCCAACAACTCCATCTACCAGCTCGGCCCTTCCCTCAAGCTGCAGGCCCGGGCCGAGACGGGCCCCAAAGAAGACTCGCCGACCTGCACACCGCCAGCGTCAGCCTGCCAGAAAACGAAGCCAATGCCCAATCTCAACAAGCTTCTGCTAATCCATCCATCTAATCAGTCACTTATAGCCTGTGGCAGTCGCTATCGAGGCATCTGCTCCCTCCTCAACCTGTCCAACGTGGAGCAGGAGATTTACTACTGTGACAGCAAAGGAGAGAGGACTTACGTTGCTAACGTAGAGGATAATGTCAATGTGGTGGGAGTCATGTCCTACTACAAAAAAGATGGCAAAACTTTCAACGTGTTTGTTGTGGGGAAGGACTACAGAAACTCTGACAGTTCAAAACTCATCAGCACCCGAATCCTCGATGAATACAAGGAATGGGTCGTGTTTGAGACCATCATTGAGGCTTCTACAATACAGCCGCCATTTAATATAAAGTACTCTCATGATTTCAGGTACACCTTCAAAGAGGACGGTCACATATTCTTTCTCCTGTCTCGAACTGATGGTGTGGATACCAAAAACCTGACCTTCGTGTCCCGTCTCTGCGAAGACGACCAACATTACTACTCCTACACAGAGCTTCAGCTAAAATGTGGAGCAGAAAATCAATACAACAAAGTCCAAGCGGCTTTTGTGGCTTCTCCTGGAAAAGAACTGGCCCGGGCCATGACTGAGTCCACTGTGTACGGGAAGGTAAGCCCATGGCATAAAGTCCTCTTCATGGTGGCAAGTTCGGATGACCTCGACGGTGAATCAGCTCTGTGCATGTATCCCATGAACTCCATCAATGAGAGGCTGGTGGACATAATCAGCGCTTGTTACAGCGACAACGGGAAGATTTCAGGGGTACCTGCTGTTTACATCCCCTACTCTTCCAAAGCTGGGGAATTTTGCACATCTAACATTGGGGTGAGTTCTCTATAAGCGTAACTTACGTAATGGATAAAATGCATATTTTATCAGTAAAAACAACTATTGAATACTTGTTTGTTTTTTTCTTTTTTTCTTTTTTGAATGTTCCTGGCACACCTACTATTGATGGTAGGCATTTGAAAAGCTTTCCTAGTCAGATACTATACATTAATGTATAAGGCCAGAGTTATTTATAGCCCTGACAGGTTTAGATTAGTGTGAATATGTGTGTGAATGACTGAATGTAGTGTGAGGCGCTGTGGGGTTCTCTGGATTTGATAAGGCGCTTCACAAGTACAGGGCATTTTAGTAACTTCAGGGGACCAAAAAATTTGTTTTTTATAGAAAATGACACCGGCACCTCCCATGCCTGAAGGTTACATACAAAATGAACATTCTCAGATAGCCCTGGTAAAGTGGAAAAGCCTTTATTTTTATTTAAGCAATCAAACCCAGCGGATGATTTTGCATGTCTTCAATGATATATTTGACTATGCAAGTCTTAGCTCCAGGTCTTTGAGGTTCCTCCCCTGTCCTCCAGTCTTTAGCTGCTTTGCCATAACTCCGTTACACCTGAGACATTCCAACATATGGCCCAGCCTCAAACATCTTAAATTCATGTATATAAAAATTAAGGCCTTAAAATTTCTTAAATTCCTTTTTTAAAAAGTAAGTTGGCCTTTCTGTTATTCCCAGGTCTTAAATTTTGTCGAGACTGGACTACTTAACCTCTTATATACTATATATAATTTAACACATGTTGACTGGATGAAGTTTGTGCATTTCTGTTGAGTTGTTGGTCTTAAGTTAAATTCATAAGGGTCTTAAATTTCAGTTGGTGAAACCTCCAGAAACCCTGAAAATAACAAGGTGGGTATTACATGAATTAGTCAACCGTAAGTGAAATATGCAATATTCAACACAAATTGCACATTTAAGTGTCCTTACTAATTTAAAATATCATCCATTCATCCATAAGCTATGTGTTTCTCTTGGCTGGGTGCTGGAGACTGAAAGGATTTCAAAATATACAACTGAAGAAACTCTTTTTTTATTCTTATTTGTCATAGAGGATCAAAATCACATCCAAAGTTGCTCCCAATCAAATTAAAAGTTTTCTATATTTAATTAAATTTTTTTTTTTTCTTGTCAGTTAATTTTTTATGTTATGAAGCCCACACTAAACTAATTCTTACTTGAAATGTCTGGCTTATTGTGCATAACCTGTTTTTTTAGTTTTTATTACTTTTACAATCAAAGAATGAGTTTGTTATATCATTTCACAATGTTGAAGGGGAAAAAGAAAAAGTAATCAGTCATCTCTGTTTACCTTTCACAGAAAGACTTGTTGAAAGACTTCAAGTGCGGTGCAGACTTTTTGCCATCCCCTCTGGCGAGCAGGCCAAAATTTGCCTTACAGGCCAGCGCAGCGTGGACCTCGACAAGCCTTCTGACCGCTGTGGCTGTTGCTGTGGAGAACGATCACACCATTGCGTTCTTGGGCAACAACAAGGGAGAGGTCTTCAAGGTGGTGTTATTTCATCTGTTTCTTCTTTCAGCTTTTCATTTTCTTCAACCTTTTGCCCAGAGGGAGCTTGTGTCAGGTTAATGACGAAGCTCATGTTGCTCTATTTTGTCCAGGTACATCTCACAGCCGCAGCGGATGAGTACGGTAAGGTTCCTGGTGACAACATCGGGGAGAAGGTCAACAAGAACCTCTTCTTTGACCTCCCTCAGAGCCACCTCTACATCACCACTGAGAAAAAGGTACGTTAGGCAGGAAGAGCACAACGTATCCATGCAGGTGAACAGCTTCATGGCAGCGCTTAAAGCCAAATTGAAAAGTACTATTTATAAGTGAAATAATCTGTCAGTGGATCAAGACTTTTTTCTCATATTATAAGTTAAAATGTCTTGTTCCACTGGCAGATTATTTCACTTATCACTTGTACTTTCATAACAAATACTTTTTCACCAATATTAAGGAATTATTCACTTAAAACAAGCTCCTTTGGTCACTTGCAAGTCAGTTTTGTCTCATTCCAAGTGTACTAATATATTTGCACTACAAACTAGACCAAAAACACTTGCTAAGGTTCTATTATTGCAGGACAAATGGAATAATCTGATTATTGAAGAGACAGTTATCTTTTATTTTGATGGAGAATCTCACCCAGACATGGATCTTTTTTTTTCTTTTTTGCAGGTTTTTGTCTCAAGTCATAGTTGTGCGTTTTAATACAAATATAACCTGTTCAGTTGTAAATCTCACCAATAACATTTAGTTTTTTAAGTCAGAACTGACTGTTAACCTATTAGTAACATTACACTGATTTTATACACAAATAATTTTTTCTACTAAGCAAAATGCAAAAAATCCTGATGTGAGCCCCAGGTTGAATACAAACTCACTTTTTAAAGTGAATATATGCAGATATGTTCTTAGTTAACATACAGCTGAATTTAAATCTCAAACGCTTTTGTATTTTGACAAAAACAACTGCACCATATGTAGACAGAAGACTGAAAACTGAACCCAACTTTGATTTTTTTCCCTTCGTTCTGTTTTTTTGAGCCAGTCTAACAGCAGGGAGACGCAGGGTTAAAAGGGTGACTTGTACTTGATCAAAACAGGTTTGAATGACACAATGTTCAGCTGCGTTGGAAGCGGTGAGCGTTCGCGTCTCTGCCAAGCTCAGTCAAAAGCAGAGTTGAGTGCCAACTTTCTTACAGATAGGCGAGATGTGAATCCTTTTAAAACATGAAAAATATTTTTAGACTGATTCTCCTGGAAGACGCTCATAGTGCTAAATAATTGTATCAGGGCTGGGATAAAGGAAGAAAAAATCTGTGCAGCTTTCTCCTAAAAACAGAGAGGCTATTCCAGATACATTTAGGGACTTTGTTTGAAGAATAGTGACAGCAAAATGTGGCGTCTAATGGAAGTGCATAGGGTAATTACATAGGTAGTTACGTTCTATTAGCCCAATACAGTAAACATTTACTGAATGCTCCGAGTAAATTGTTTCAGTAATTGAACATGACCATGTGCTGTGACAGGAGCTCTCCTCCAGCAAACCAGAAGGCGGATCGAGCTGAACACCTCGTTTCAGTGCAACGTCTCCGAGGTGCACTGTTTGATCGTACTCTGTTTTGTAATTCTCAAGATCACCAAGGTGCCGGTGCAGACGTGCCTCCAAAAGACAGACTGCAAATCATGCGTGGAGCTGAGGGATCCTTACTGTGGCTGGTGTGTCCTGGAGGGCAGGTGAGAGTCCTTGTCACAGAGACATGCACGTAGGCACAAAAACACACGAATGCAAACACCCGCGATTGCTATTCCATCTGTATCACACAGTGGGGTATTTGTTTGGTGTGTTTTATTGCACGCACGTTTATTACCCCTTAGTGTTTATATTCAGTCTTGTGCTGTCCACGGAACCGTAAGGAATTAAAGCTGTTTGTCAGCTTCATGCGGCGAAGCCAGACTGCAATTTACTCTGATCAGTCTATATTTATCAAGGTCTGAAAAGCAAAAAGAAAAAAGAAAGATGCAAATGTGTCATGTTTCACAGGGATATGGTCAGGAACTTTCTTTAGAAAGTTAGTATTGCTTTTATTATAAAATGTGTATTTTGGTCATAAGTTGGAGAGATAAACAGTTGTTCATTTTAGTTTAGCTTGTAGAGTCAGAAAATAAAATAATTTATTTTGCTTAAAGTTGTTTTCCCTCAAAAAGTACTTAAGTTCATTTTCCCAGAAATAATTTACCTTAAAAGTTAAAATGTAGTTTTCCAATGCCAAGCTCAAAGCCTCGCTGTTGGTGAAAGATGAATGAAACTTTTCGAATCATTAGTAGACAGGTTGAGTTTAGAAATGACTCGATGATTTTTTTATAATTTTGAGTCAAAATAACATTGTTTTTAAAATGTAATTAAAGTGTGATATAGTCAAATTGCTTTAATTTCAAACAGAAAAGCTGCAGTCCACACTGAGAACATAATGTACAATATAAAATCTGACTGAATAAGAATATGCGCATATATTTAGTATGCATATATAACATATTTATAAGATATTCATTTGTTTTGTTGTATTTATAAAATAACTCAATATAATCTGTTATTCCCTGCCTATTTAGTTTGGCTGTCTGTTCATTTATTACCTAAACTGGACAGCCTCCTTCGGGTTCTGCATGGCTGTCCATGTTTTGCCTGACCAGAAATACTTAAAATTTTTACTTTGCAAGTAAATGTAGCAGATTTCTTTCAACCATATGGTGGGCTGTGGAAAACAAAATGAGGCTTGTTCTTTTGATGATCATAAAAATTACTCTGAGTAATTTTAAAAAGAAAATAATAAATTTGCTTCTGTCAAATCTTAGGTAGAAGTCACTATTTTGGTCTCAAAATTTGGAAAAATTGTCTTTGCATTTCCAGTTTCCTCTTAGAGAGATAAAACATTCAGTTTTATAAAGTAGTTTTATGCATCATAAAGTTAAATAAACCTGCTATAAATGAGCCTGGAACGACTTTGTGCTTATGAAAGTTTGTTTTTTAGGTCACTTTAGTGTCAAACTATTGTTCACAAAGCCTATTGAGGTGCTGCTGGAGTCTGTGGCGTTGGGAGTGTTCACGGGATGTGGAGCAGACGCTGATGGCCGTTGTTCATCCTTCATTTGTAGGTGCACCAGGAGGTCTGAATGCCGCCGGGCAGAGGAGAGGAATGGCTGGCTGTGGAGCCCTGGGCAGCAATGTCTCAAGATTTTATCCTTCTACCCGCCGAACCTTTCCAACAAAAAAACAGATAAGGTAGTCACAGCTCCTCTAATTTGCTCTGGTCTTGTTTTTGTGTTTTTACTCTCTTGCTGGCTTCCAGTGCATGCTAAACTAACGTCTATGATCTGAGCTGTAAACTGTTTACTCTGAGTCAGCGACCGTAGACTCTGGGTCTTCCTGTTCTTTATTGATCCATCCAGAAAGCTCCAAACTTTCTTATTAATATCCAGGTTGGCTGATTGGGCCTTTCACTGTGAAGATTGAGAGCCCCTCTTATGTGCTTTGCTTCTAAAATGGTTTTTCTCATTCCTTTTGCTTTCTATTTTTCTGTCCCTCCCTTTCTGACTCACTGGAATTTCCATCAAAAGCTTGTCTCCTCTTTTCTTGCTCTCAATCAATCTCCTGTCTTTCAAAAGGAAATTGTTTCTTGTTTTCAGAGGTGTTTGTATCATTAACAGAGCAGAGAAATTAACTCAAATCTTTCCTTTTTTCTTTTTAATCAAAGCGTGTGATGAACAACATTGATTTTAGCAAGAATCAATTGGTTTTATATTTTCTGTGTGTGTGTTTTTTATTTTTATTTTCCCCCCAACCAGATCCAGATCAACATCCCGTCACTCCCGTCTATCGGACCCTCTGACCGTCTGAAGTGTAATGTTGGATCGTTCCAGAGTGAAGGCATCATGCTGGACTCCAGCCAGGTCTCCTGTGATCTGCCACAGCCTTCGGATATCCCGAAAACTCCCGAGAATCAAGGTCTGGCCCTTCCTTTTCTTGACCAATCCGATTTCGTTAAGGTGCCTCACTTAAAGCTTTCAAGCTTTTCCACGATGTTGCTATAATTTTCAATATATAGTATTGATATCCCATATGGTGAGCAAATGAAAATAAACATCCAATTTTAAAGTGACATAGCTTTTGAAATATATATACAGAAAGTCTGGATATATAGTCTTATTTCCACCCGTCTTTCTAAAATTGTTGAAATAATTAATGAGCTGCTTTGCATTGATATGTAACATAAAAGTGTAAAGTGTGCAAACAATTTGGCCAAATAATTTACCTCTCCACTTCAGCTAACTCTGTTCCATCAGTGTTTAATTCTGTAATTTGGCTGTTATGATATAACCATTATCTGCAAAGTGTTGGCATTATCTTAGTTGTGGTCACTTTCAAAACACATAAAAAAGTTACCAGCCAAGAAAATCAGCACAAAAAGTTATAGATTGGGTCATGATTTGTAAACAGTTTTGGATTGATTGAACAGAAATTCACTGAATGAATAATTTCTCTGGTCTTGATGAGCACACATAGCATTTGTGCTCGCACTGCCTTGCTTATCATTACAAAATACTTAAACAGTTCGCTCTCTCCTTAGATTTTGTGGCCGTCTCGGTGAGGATTTTTGTCAACGAGACCGTGGAGCTGGCTGAGAGGGAGTTCAAGTTCTACAACTGTGCAGCCACTGTGAGGAAATCAGAAAACACGCCGTGAGTGAGATTGTTACCTATCAGTTCTGCTCTGTCACTCACCAAAATCCACAGTGACACTGAACACAGCATCGCTTTGACAACCTTGATGTAAATTTATCACCACGCATGAATAGATGAGAGATCAAGGCTCTGTTTGTAAATTGTGATGCATGGCGGCTTTGAATGCACCTCTCGCATTTTTCTGTGCCTTTATTACCAAACCGAGGAAATTGCCTGTGTTCCCTTTTCATTAATCAAAAAATGAAAGTCGATCACACCAGTCCCCCCCTCATACCCCCACCCATATTTTCTCTTCATTTCTTTCTCACTGAGGCATTTGTGATGAACGAGCTTTGCTTATGTGAAGTTGCACAAATCCATTTCAATGTCAGCCGCATAGATTTTTGTGCCGGACAGCCTCTGATGAGTTTGCATGTTTTTAAAAAATTCTGTTCTTTACCGGGCTTTTGTTTGTGTGCGATAATGTAAATATGTTTGTCAGAATTCTCTGACATTTGATATTCCCATGTCTTTCAGGTGCACGGCATGCGTGACGAGTCCGTGGGGCTGCCAGTGGAATACGCAGTATCACACATGTAGTGACAAAGACAACAGCATAGTGGGCCCAAACATCATTGGACATCGTAAGGTCAGTCTCAGCAAAGAGATGAGTCGACGTTAAGCCAAGAGACCGTGTGTCTGTTTTACATTTTGCCACAATAGAACCACAGACGTCAATGTATTTTATTGGGATCTTATGCCACATACTTACACTAAAGAGAGGTTTTATTTCTGCATTTTTTGCCCTGAAAAGCATGGTGTGTATTTGTATTGAGCCCTCTTTATTCTGGTACACCAAACTAAAATCCAGTGTAACAAACCACCTTCAGATGTCACCTAAACGGTGTTAGTATAGAGTTCACCTATGTGTATTTTAACCCTATTCTGCAAAAACACAAAATCTTATCAAGAATATTTGATCCAGTTGATAGTGCAAATATCTTTGTACATTTAAAATGAGACAAAACTGACTTACAGGTAACTTTTCATGTTCCTTCAAGTAAATAATTCCTCAATATTGATGGAAAAAGTGCTAAATCCACTGGTAGATTATTTCACTTATGGAAAAAAAAGTCTTATAAGTGGGATAATCTGCCAGTGGAACTAGTACTTCTTGATTGATATTAATTACTTTCTTAAAACCAGCTCCTTTCTTTCTGAAAAGTTGTTAGGTTTTTTCTTGTTGCAAGGTTTTACACTAGAAACTACACCAAAAAGACAACACAAGATTCCGTGTTTTTGCAGTGTACAGACACATCGCCACCCTCCTGAGCGGACAAGACAAGAAAGGGGAAACATGGAAGAATGTGCTCTAGTCAGATGACCCCAAAATGTAACTTTCTGGACTATGTGCAAAATGCTATATATGGCAGAACACTTAACAGTGGATGCTGAAATATATTGTTAGAATTATGATGCTGTAAAAAATCTTCAGGAAAGCTGGTGAACTTAATACTATTATTGAAGAAAACCAAAAAATGACCCTGGTCCATTAGCTGTGTTTGCATGCATGCAGTTAATAATAGTCACACAACTGTTGCAAACTTAAGGTTTCCGTCACTATATTTAGTGAACTTTCAGACAAAAAAAAAACTCGATACTGGCCAAAATCAGAATCGATGGGTCAAGTTTTTTTTAAAGATTTGTGATTGGAAAAAAATTGTGGTGCAACCCAGGACATACAACCAGATCTGCAATGGAATCAAAATGAGAGTTGGAATTTGCTGTTATGCTTTCCCTTCAATCGGACCGAACCTGAACTATGTTGCAAAGACGAATGGGTAAAACATCAGTCTGTAGATGCAAAGCAGACAGAGCCACACTGCATCAAAAAGATATTCATTCAGAGGGATAAGACAATGTAGAAATTTCTTTTTAGAATCAAGAGTGTAAAATTATGCATTTGTCCCCTGTGTTGTAGTTCTGTAAAATGCAATTCCACTAAAATACATTAAGATTTGTGGTCGAAGTTTGATGAAACGTGAGAAGTGTAGGGGGTATGAACACTTTTGTAAGACCTATTTATTAATTATGACGCAGCAACTGACTGTACAGAGCCTTCCTGAAAATGAATAAAAAACACAAATCCCTCAATCATCCGCCAGTGATTGGAAGATTTCAATTTACAAGCCGGCAGATGTTCCAGCGATACACTTATCTGTTGCTGCAGATGAGGGTGTCTGTTTAGTAGCTTCCATGTTTGAAATGCAGATCATTAAAAGTGGGTGTGTCTGACTTGATTTGATGTGTTTTCAGCGACTGGAGTGTCCTCAGTTTGAGAATCCAGACCCAGTTCTGATCCCAGTGGGCTACGAGACCAGTATCAGTTTTGAAGGGATCAATTTGGATAACTACGAGGTAAAGGAGACTGTCTACACACCCAAAACATTCAGTGGTTTATTAGCAAACAAACAGATGTGGTATGTAAGTTGTAAAAGAATAAATGTGCAGCTTTTTCTTGATTAAAAAAAAGAAAAATTACTCCACCTCATAAGAAGGCAAAAAGAGGAAGCAGACGTTGGACGTGCTGAATTCCATTAATCACCTAAATCACAACAGGAAGTCATTACAGCGAAGCGAAATGGGAAATGCACTGTATTTATGTAGCACTCTGATAGTATTATTGACCACACAAAGTGCTTTAAAACACAAGCCACATTCATACAAATTTATGCTGTGTTTTTTTTTCTTCTTCCTGCCTTACATAAAGCACTTCTTCTATCACAGACGCACTTATACATCAGGGGAAACTGGGAGATTTACCAGTGTTGCTAAGAACACGTCGGCATGTGGACTAGACTGGCTGGGGATGAAGCACCTACCTTCTGATTAATGGTGGACTCTGCCTGCCTCTTTAGCCATCACTTCTGATTGAGGCTTTGAGTGTTGAAGCAAGTCTTAATCCAAGTTTTGAGACCAAACTTGCCACTTTTGTGTGCCTTCTTAAGACACTGTCTGAGGCTGACGGATCTATAAAGCTACCTGTAATTTACTAACGTATAATCATCTCAGTGTGAGAAGGCTGGAACAGTCTGCATGTATATTTTCTGCCATGCTAATGGAATAGGAGAACACGGATAAAAATAGCATGTACCTGCATGTGCGTCTGAAAAGAAATAGTCATTTTATTATGAAGTTTATCTCCATAATTAAAACTCATCCTGTAGATTAAACACAGTGCTTTTGTTTCTTTTAAGTTTTCATACAGAGTTGAAAACTTAATCCAAGCATTTTAGTGGATAGTTAAGTGGAAGGAAAAAATATATTAGGAAAAAGAGACATAATCAACAGGGATGAAGCATCCTTGAGAGGATTATGAATCAAGGTCCACTCAAGAGTTTGCAGGTGTCGTCTGTAGCTCTAGTGAGAGCTTAAAGACAAATTTATTGGTTAAAATATTAAAATAGGCAATTCCAAGTTTTTTGGAGGGAGTTTCAGGTATTTGCGGCTTTTAATTTTTTTTGGCTTATGCCTGTGTTGCAGACACTTCTGGACATAAAAGTTTTTTTTGGTCTGAAATTATATTCAAATTAAATAAGAAACTGAATATTAGGTTTTCATTTGCTGCTTTTACTTGGTGATTAGTTTCAATGTAGCTAAACACTTGAAATATGTCAAGATATCACTTAGTGAGTCTTGTCTTTGTTCTAATAGCCATTGCGTTCTGTATCAGTTTACCCGTTTCCCTCCTTGTCGTCATGCAGGATCGTGTTTTTACCATCGGCACCGAACTGATGAAAAACATGGAGGAACCGGTCAGAAAAGAGAGCGGCCGTTTCTACAGTTTTAACGGCTTCAGTGTGAGTACACCATAGCAGTAAATACTGCACTAGACTTTAGATCCTGTCCTCAGTGTTAGCAGAAATTATCCTCCACTGAACTGCAGCTTCTAAGCCACAGCTAAGGTGTTCAGTTATAGAGCTACATAAGTAACAGCATACACCGTAGCACAGCCTCAGTTCTTGTTGCAGCACATCCTTTTTATTGCCAAGCATGTTCTGTATGCTGCGTAATTATGAACGAATTTTCCCTTCAGCAGTTTTTTTTATAATCCTTTGATATTCTCTAGCTCCCTCTAATGGACAGGCTCCACTCGTTTGAGTTATTTTAGCTGCATCTCTCCACATTTTGAATTCCCTGATTGAGAAACTCGAACCGTATCTTGCCCCCAGCTATGTTCTTTCTCCTACATTGATTTCCTCTGCTGAAAATCTGCCAGACTGGGTATAGTTTTTATTTTTCTTCTTTTTTATTTTTTTCCCCCTTGGCACAGGGTGGCAGCAGCAGCCCACACTGTTTGTAGAGAACAGTTTAAATGTAATAAATCTCTGGATTTCATAGTATTTACCCATTCTGTTTTCAATTCCTTAGTTCTCCTACGATAAGTCACCGGAGACCAGCGTCCTGTTTTACATGAAGGACAAGAGGACTGGGAACAAAATGGACAGCACTCTAAATGGTGCATTTCTTAAGCTACCTTTAATTTCCAACCTAAAACAAAAAACAGAGATGGGAATATGGCTAATACTCTATAACTGTTCTTGTAACATCTCTTGCGATCCAGTCACCCTGTACAACTGCTCTGTGGGGAGGGAAGACTGCAGCCTCTGCAAGTACGCCGACTCAAAGTACAACTGTGTGTGGTGCAGCAAGCAGAAAGCGTGTGTGTTCAAAAAGCTCTGTAGTGATTCCCAAAACACAGAGTGCCCCAACCCTCAGATCACCAACGTAAGTACTGGCAAACCTCACATTTACATTTAAGATGTGAAACTGTGTCCGCCTCTAGGACGTTTGAGCAGAGAACACATTGATCTTTGGGATTGGATTATTGATTAGACCAGTGTATTGGCTGCGTATTGTCTGTCTCATCTGTGTGTTGACAGAAGATTTGGAAGTCTCCTTGTGAGCATGCTGCAATGTTCCTCCATTATGTCTAGATTGGATCAATATTTTGTTTGCTTACCTGGTTGTTGGTGTCTTTTTGTCATTGACAAAAGAAACGCCAACCAGTAATTGCGTTGATATAATTCAGACGGAGGATGTCGGCAGCCACAACACCGACAAACAGATATATCGGTTGATGGAAACACGGATAAATGGCATTGGCAGGATTGTTTATGGTGTCAGTGGGTTGATTTATTTTTTTTCCCCACCAATCATTGAGATTTTCAAGGATCCCAGAGGGTGAGTTCAATTTGTCTGCTGAACCTTTATTCTGCTTGTTCACAAAAACAGCCAGACTCTTAAATCTTCACCATCTTTTCTTAAAATCTTAATGTACTAAATTTGGATTTCATGTGACTGGTCAACAAAAAAAATGTTGACATGTTAACATTTATATTTACATTGGCATCCCTGAATAAAGTCCTGCGCAGAACAGTGACTTCACACATCGCTTTGCAGTCAACTTAATCAAAGTATAAATCCAGGTGTTTTTATTGCTTAAAAGCATAAATTTTGATGAATTGATTATGCAATTTTCAAAAAAATCAATCAAAAGATTCCTGCTGGAAGCCGGAAACCTGCAAGTTTTATTATTTCTTGAAAAAATAGTCAATAAGCTCCATATGTAAAGCTGTGAATCTTGCAGCTGTAATTGCAAATGAACAATTGATACAGGGAGGTGGGTTTCAAAGAGACACTACACTTTGAAAGAGGAAAAAATTGATTTTAAAGTTATGCACCGTATGTTAATCTGTCACAGAGTCAAAGTGCTTTATCATATAAATGGCACATTTCAGCCTTGATGCTGAAATGTGCCATACAAAATAAACTCAACTGATTGATCTCTCCAAACTTTCTCCCTCCAGATCGTCCCTCTTTTTGGGCCCATGAAGGGAGGCATCTCCATTACCATCCATGGATCCAACCTTGGTATTTACAAGGAGGACATTAAAAACATCACAGTAGCCGGAGAGCCCTGCATACATCAGGCGGAAAAGTATTCTGTCTCCACCAGGTAAAGTATGCTTGGTGTGAGCTGTACTACAAACACACATTTCATTGTCATTTTCCTAATTGTGTTTTTAAAGTATCTCTGCACATAGGCTTTTCTCTCTCCTCACTGTGTCGTGCCTGCATGCTTATTATACAACCGTATTGATCTGATGGTCTCCAGACACGGGCGGATTTAGTGAAAAGTCTTCTTAAAGGACACAGACACTGCATATTGTTTTTTTGAGTAAATTTAAAACAACAGATCACATTCAGCTCCCTCATTAAAATTCCTCTCAGGTGATCTGTTAGACCTGACCAAGGTGTCTGGAGTCCCAGGTTAAATATTTTTTAGAAAACTCTGACTGAAATGCATATAAAGGAGAACGCAGTCAGAATAGAATATAAGCGCCTCTAAAAATGTATTTCAACTTGAAACTACAATGAATCGCTAACTCTTATTTTCTCTCATCTGCTTTTCTTTTAAACATTTTGTTGGACAAAACTCCATACAACCCAAACCATAAGAGTCTGAAAATACATTTGATTGAACAGGCAAATGTACGGCTTATATAAACGATTATGAAACTGTTATGATTGTGTAGGAGGTATGCCGACTCTTCTTCTGCTTTGTTTTTCTGTAATTGTGTTTTATGTGAAGATTGGGGATGTTTTCAGCTGATCTACATAATCAATGATATCAGCATTGCTGTTTTTGTGAAAATATAAAGTTTAATAGATTTAATTAATTTTCTGAAACTTCACTGTTTTTCCTCAAATTAAACAGAAAAAAATTAATTCAAAGTTATAAAATAATTTCGCAGCTGCAGAAACAATACTCAGTTTCTGCTGATAAGAAGACAGTAAAGAGAGTTGCCGCAATATTATTTTTAATCTGCTGAATGCACTCAATAAAGTCCGCCATGTTGTCCATCTGCTACGTTTTTTCCTGAATAAGTGTTTGTGGAAGCACTTAGATGTCCATGTATATTTGTGCAGATGTTTGTTTTCATAAAGCACTACCACACCTGCAAACATGAAAGTCCAACAATATTCACCAAACTGCTACAAATGAATTGATCACCATGTTCCTTTTTTTTTTTGTTTACTCTGCATTCCCCTGATATTATTAATGATGCTTAAATAAAGTTTAAAATCTAGTCGAGCATTTTTGGTCACATTTTTGATAACATGACTACAAATTAAAAATTCTGCGGTTTCTTGGTTAATTGATCATTAGCTGGATGTTGATTGTTGAGTCTTTAGGGAAGGCTTTAAACTCCCCACTGACTGTGAATATGCACACTAATGTTATTGTAGACAGTGAAAGTCCTTGAATATAAATGGTGCAGGTCTTAATTGCTCCACTTTTAAGCCAAAAAGTAGCACAACCTGAAGCAATGTTTAAAACTTAAAAAAGGTTTTACAGAGGTTTATTCTGATACAGACACCTAGAAAGAATTAAACCCTTAGATTGTTCTGCTTTAAATATCTACAGCATGCAGCTAGATCTCTGACTTTTTTTTTTTACTCGCATAATAAAATATTTTCATTTGCAGTGAATCCCAGGCTGTGCTTACTAACAGCAATTTAAAGATGCTTAAAAATGAGCAGAATAAAAGTATTTAGTTATGTCCTTTGTAATATGGTTAAATAATTTTTAGTATAAGTTGATAATTATTATCTGCATCTAAACATGTGGTTGGAAAAGTCTGAGGAATAAATTATCCTTGTCAAATAATGTAAAGAAATTTAACAAGAAGCAGAAATGGTCATTAGAAAACATTTTTAATTCTGACCTTTGCTTTTTTTTAAACCTTCCTCATACAGGGCAAGTGTTCCCAAGCTAGTCTTAATTATGACATTATTTCAGTCCTGAAAAGATCTTAAATGTTCTGGACAGATTTTCAATGATTTATTCCCTTCATCTTGGAGGCATTTTATTTGGCAGGGCATAGTTAGGAAGATAATTGCATTAACCAAGTCCACCAGATTCACTTCAGTCACAGCTGGGTCTAAAAGAGCTCACTTCATACAAATGGTCTATAAAACAGAAAACAGCCTCTTGCCAGAGCAGTTGACACCTGGCAAGATGGAGCTACATTTACGACAAATCCTCGCCCCACCATCTGCATGATGAGACATAAACTGGGATTTATGTGACCAGATGGAAGTCTTCTGGTCTTAAATCATTCACTTTTGTTCCTACGACCGCACTCCTCTCCTCTTGTTGCTAGCTGCCACACATTTGTTGTTGTTGTTGTTTGTTTTTCAGGTTGAAGTGTGCTTGGTTTGAGCTCCTCATTCTGATATCGGGGCCCGCTCATTTGCCTGAATGAGCCTTGCTGTATTAACTTTAATCAGCTGCAACACGCTTCCTCTAAAATCTGCTGAAGATGTGGACATGGTTTTCCACTAATGTCCAGATGCCAATATAATAAGCAGCCACACATCAAAAGTTGGCTCGTCCAACTAAAGACACTGAAATATTTTTTTTGTAATTATTCAGTGTTACTGAAATATTTACTTGTTGTGTTGAAACAGTCATTTTCCTTTTGCCTTTTTGTTATTTAACTTACAGTTTTTCTCACAATGTGATGGAGGCTTTATTCTATTTTTTTTCTTTTTTACAAACTATTTCTTTATGTATATCTCACATAGGTCAATGCTTAAAATAATTTCTGCCATCTGAACCTTTCTTATTGAATTTGTCCAGTGTCGTGTGTGAGATTGGCCGTATAGGCCCTAATAAAAGCCTCTCGGGTCCAGTGGAGATATGGGTGAATGGGGGAAAGAGAGGAAAGTCCCGCATCAACTTCACCTACAGGGTAAGTACCAAACTTCACTCTGCGTCTGACTATAAACAAGTCTCAAATGTTTTAAGGAAAAGAGATAAAAACTTAAGATTTTTATCTTGATTAATATTTTAGAGATAATGCTTGTACGTTAAGTACTGAAATCTTCACCTCAAAACACACAGTGCCATACAAAAGTTTTAATTCCCATATTTTGTAAATCTCTATAGTTTGGGGATGTTTGTCTGTGAAAGTAGCGGTTCAATGTTGTAATTCAAAAGTGTTGTTTTGTTTGTTTGTTTGTTTGCCATATATTTCAAACTAAACTGGATGCTGAGCACTTGTAAAAAATCAGTTTTGAAGACTTCCTGTATATTGTGGTTTTAAGTCTGGACGTTGACTGGGTCATTTTAACACATGAGATGCACATAATGCATAATTGTTCTATATAATTGTTCCCATCAAGTAAATATTTCATTTGCCCACTGAAAGATAAGTATTCATAAAGCATGTCACTGCTACAACCGTGTGTCAGGGATATGAAAGACAAAAAAAAATTATAAAAACGTTTGAAAACTATATACTTTTTCTTGCCCTTCATAATTTTGCATTTTTTGTGTACGTTGGTTTTTCCCAAAAAGCAGAGAATTTCTGTGGTTGAAATTTGATAAATCAGAAAAAGCCATATGAAAACTTTTGCAAGCCACAACACTCTCCTTAAAACTTAAACTAGGCCATAAATTTTATTTCTAGATATGCATTTCTTTGTTAAAATTTTCTAAATAGGGGTAGAGTTTAATTTTCATGATTGAAGTGCTAAACAGCAGTTTAACTTCAGTAGTAACTTTTTAAATGCTTTATAAGATCACAGCTTATCTTTTTTTTTTCATATCGTCGCCTTTTCCCCCCACAAGGGAATTGCTTCCGCCTAACTGTTTATGCGGCATTTTGAGGCAGATGTGGCGCTTGTATGGGTTTGTGGCACAATGCTTGTGATAGAGCGAGTGGGGGTTGTTCAAGGAGCCTGAGAGAAAGTGTGCATGTTTATGGCACAACACTGTTATCTCTGTGTGTGAAGCTCCTCTGGTTGTATGAGCCTGAGGGTTGACGCTTGTGTGTTTGAGTCCTTGCAAGATAGATACGTGCACTTATTCAAGCAGTACTTGGTGACAAACAACCTGACTGATTTTTTTCCCCTTCTCCTTTCCTCCCCCTTTGCTAGGACCCAGTGCCACAAGGTGTGCACCCTACTAGAGGGCCTAAAGCAGGAGGCACAAACATTACAATAACTGGGCAGTTTCTGAAGACCAGCAGCAAGGAGGATGTCCAGGTTAAAGTTGGAGACGTGAACTGTGCTGTGTAAGGATTGCATCTAGATTTGTATTGATGCCATTAATCTCTCCAATGAAATAGCCAGCTGCTATCCAGTCCTACAACTTGTAGATTTTGCACAAAATGTAAAACTTTAATTGATCTTAGCTGCAGAAATGCATTTCCCCTCTATTTCACTTTTTTGTCTGCCAAATCCGTAGCGATATTTAAAAATAACTACCAAGAGAAGCGGTTGAACCAGGACTGTCGGGTGGCAGCCACCATGCTACCTTTTGTAGCATGGTGGAGATCCGCCGTGCTACACCCACCCACCCTTCAGACAGCCTGTACTGAGCTTTGTCCTTGTCTCGGCAGGAAGGAATTCGGGGAAGCTATTGTCTGCAAGACAGGTGAATATCAACAGGAGAAGTTGCCTCTGGAGAAGCTCCCCGTCACAATTCACTACGGAAAGTCAACCACAACATCCGTCCAAAGTGCCTTCCAGTACATGGAAAACCCAACAGTGTCGGACCATCAGCCCAGAGAAAGCTTTGTCTGGTCAGTTTAACTAAAGCATCCACCTGATATAATCTGGTTCTGTTTGCCATGTTGTTGTTTTTTTGAGCCTGGACAAAATTTCATAGAAAGTTAGGATTTGCATATTGAGCCGTTCTGGTTCTTGATCATGTTAGTGATCTATTCATCTCTTCCAGGGTTTCCCCCAGTGTATTATAAGCCTGGCGGGCCACCAGGCTTTACTTGTGCCCCCATCAGGCTGAGCATTGCTTATTTTTTTGTCATTTTAAAGATGTTTGTATTTTTAAGGCTTTATTGTTGGTGTTCAAATATTAATCTCTCAATCTTTCAATAACACATAATTATCAAGTGATATATTTTCACATTTTCTGTCCACTATAATAAATTTTTAACTCAAAAACAAAATCAGCCGCTGGATGAATGACTTCCCTGAAACCCCAACCAGGGGACTTAGCAAGTTTTGTGGGGGAATCCTTGTCTTCCAGTGGAGAGATATCTAAAATATGTTTTCAAGGGACTTGTATGGACTCGGGAGCAAGTTTCAGTATTTTAACCATAAACTTTGTACAGTTATTGAAGTCCTTTAAATCTGTGGCATTTGCTCTGCTGTGGGCCAAATATCACAAATAGTTGTTTCAGGTTTTCAAATTTCAAATGTTTTCAGTTTACCTTAAAATGGGGAAAAAATGTGTTTCCACCTTTTTTTTACATTATAATCACCGTCTTTACTGTCTTTTATGGAGATTTTATGCGATTGGCTAAGTAAATTTGAGAAAGAACACATTGCTTTACTTTTTTGTTAATAAAAAAGCTCCACCCATTTTTTTTAAAAGTGAAGTTGTAGATTGGAGGAAAAAGCCCAAAGGCAATGGATTTTGATCCAACGATGTTGCTTTACAGAATCTGAGGAAAAAAGCATGAAAAACATAAACTTTCTATAAATTATTTAAAAAGGCTACAGATAACTGCAACAGTTGCCCCTCCACTAGAAACATCTGAAATCAAACATCGAACTGGAGCATAACCCTGAAAGTCATATGAAAAAAAAACGAAGGAATCACAAGAGTCAGACTTCTACACTTTCAGCCCGAGGGCTTGTCTTCGAGCTGAAGGAATTTACCCAGGACAACACGTACTAACATTTTAGATAATTAAAGGACACACTGTCACCCACAGACTGGCAAAACACACACAAGTTGCATTCAGCGCTGTGTACCTGTCAGAGAAAGCCTTGAGCACCTTGTAACTATAAACAGGCTATTGCAGACATCACCCCTGACATCGCTTTTCTCGAAAGGCAAAGAGAACTCAGGCTGCTCATATGGAAACAAATTGTTCTGAAACTGGTTTTAAGTTATACATTTTACAATTGATTTTGTTTGCCTAAGAGGTAAACACACCTATTTTGCTAAGCACTTTGATGTTTTGCAAAAAGATAAACTGCTGCTTATCGGCTTTGTGATCCCCAAGGTGATGAATCCTGAAGACGACCACAAACGATAACAACATTTGTGCTCACTTAGCCCGTAAAGTACATCTGTATATCTGCTGGATGGCAAAGCACATTTTTATGAATAAATACATGCACTTTAACAAATGGCTGCTTTTCTCAGATAGTGAATATCATCTACATTATTTTATAAGCAAAATCAATATGTTGGCGCTCCGCTCCCAGTGCTTTTCTGCAACAACTGACAGCCTCTCTGTAAAGTGTTGTCTTGTTTTGAAGGCTTTAGGAGATCCAATTTTCTGGCCCCAATAGTCATCATCCTGCCAGAGCTGCTGACGTCTAGATCGCTGCAATGGAAGTGGTGTAGAAAATGTCACAAAAGACCATTAGAAGTGAGGAAAAAAATTAGAGAACAGGACTCGGACTCGTTGCACCTTTTGAACTCTAAGAAGTAAAACAGACTTTAAAATGGAATAAGAAAGACTAGAAAATGTGCTGTGAAATAAAGTGTTTGATCATTTCCTAACTGGTTGGTGGGTTTTTTTTTCTCCAATGTCTGTTTTTCCTCTATTATGTATTGAAACAATTCGCTGTAAAATTACGTTAGCTTCTATTGGAAATGCTTGTTTTCTTACAAGTCGCTCTTTTTCTTTAGGTTTAATCTGAACTCTGCGTGTCGAAGGAATTCACATGCCTAATTTCTGTTTGATTTGTGTTTTAGTGGTGGGAGGACCATTGTGGTCACAGGCTCTGGTTTTGATCTAATCCAGACCGCTGTGATGAGGGTCCAGGGAGACAACTCATCATCTGTCGAGGTCTCTACTACATTTCTTCATCACTGTTTCTCTTCTTTGATCTGGTCCGTCATCGAGTGTTTGTCTTTTCCCAATCACTTGTCTTTGGCGGCCCTGCTCTGCTCTGTTCCTTTGTTAATAATTAATTCAAAATTAGCTTTGCTGTTGTTAAAATTAACTGCAGATTTCCATCCCTCTTTTTTCTCTCCCCACTAATTAGGAACACTCTTTAAATCTATTAAACCTGTTAAGCTCAAGGTAAAGCACATATTGTTTCAGTCTCGCCACAAAGTAACTAATTCTTGACCGGCTTCATTAGGTTGATCCGAGCCAGAAGGTTTTCACGCAGCTTGCTGCTGTTTACTAATCTGTGTCCTGGGCAGCGCTTTTCTGGAGAGATTCAGTCCATTTTATCTAAAGACCTCAATGTAATAGCAGATTTAAAGTTTCACAACGGTGCTAAACTTTACCACTTTGTTCTCGAGCCAAGGTTTGGGAAGCACTTCTAGCCGGCAGCCCAGAACGAGATGGAGAGTGTCATCTTAGAGGCTTAAGCTGCTCTATTTGATAAACTCCTCTTGGTTTAACTCCATCCAACTAAGCCCAAATATGCTCACACATTATTGCTGCTGGCGTGTGGTAAACCAATGTTTATATGTAGGTCAGGTTGGTGGTTAGCCACCAAGTGGTTTTCTGTTTTTGAAAGACACTCTGTACTTTTCATTTTGAAACACAGCCCTCTGAAGTCTGCATATCAGTTATCATAAGCATGCATACTTTAAGAGCCAATTTCCTTAATATGATAAAGAGTAGAATGGTTCTTGTGGTTGGCTATAAAGACGTCTATATTACCATGTTGAAATATGAGGGCAATGTTGTACTGCTCTATATTTCCAGATAACCTTATGCTAGATTTAGATAAACTGTAACATGTAAAATTGTTTGATGTGTAATGTTTTTATTGGTAAAATCTAAACATTGCATGTAGTCCTGTTGGTAATAATAGCAGTGCGGTAAAAAAAAAAAATAGGTTAACACTTTATTTGAAAGCATGTGCATAAGATTGACACACCTGTCATGAACATGAAAAGGTCTTTATGAATCTGATCATGAATTGTCATTCGGTAAATAATAACACTTTTAATGCAAAGTTTCATTGAAACATGCATTAAAAGTTCATTAAAAGCATCAGCTTTGCGTTATAGTGCAGTTATTCACCAAATAATGCAAAGTTGACATTTTTATTGGAGTTTTATTGCAGCTTGTAGTACGACTTTAAATTAAAAATGTCATTTTTTACCTAATGACACGTCATGACAGCAGACATAAACATTCATGACAGGTGCTATGTCATGGTTACGACAGTGTCATGCTGGTCTTATGTGCACCCCGACAAATAAAGTGTTACCCAGAAATGTAAGTTAAGCTTGAATTTCATGCTTTTATTTCTGTTTTCTAAATCAAAACGATCTTTAAAACTACATTACATTTTCCCTATCTACAATATTAAGAATAACACTTAATATTGTCTGCATTTATCTTAAACTAATTTACTGAAATATTCTTGGAAGATTTAGCTTCCCTGTAAGCCAGTGAACGAGCATTTAGTTGTTTAGGAGAATTGCTTTAGGAACTCAACGATTCCTTTGCATTTCTTGGTTTTGCCTCAGAAAAGGCATCGCTGTTGTTACTCCTGCTGTCTGACAAACTGTCTGCAGCCCCTAAGACCCTCTAAAAAGAACAACCTTGCTGTCATCAGTCCACAAAATGTTGCATAATTTCTCTTCAGACAAGGAAAATTTTGGTTTTTGGTCAACTTTAGCATCTTTTAATCCTCAGCTTGTTCTTCTGGGGCTCTCATGTATCTTATAAAGACAGATTTAAATATTCTTGCATGTTGTTCTAGTTTGGTTTTCCCTTTGAAAGTATTTGAGGTTATTTTAGCTAAGCAGCTTTATTACCACTGTGTTTTCCCCTTTCCGATTAGCTTCTTAATCAAAACATGCTTCTGTTTTAAAAAGTATGAGGGACAACGTACTTCATTCAGGTTATCATATTGGAATGCACCGTAGCCAACATTTGCTGAATGTCCTTTCTGCTGGATCTGTTTTTTTTTTTAAGTTATTTGTCGTGTCTGCTTAGCTACGCAGGACTGATCTTATTTTAAACAAAAGCTTATGTCATGTCAGCTTTCAAACAAAAGGACTTAGCTGATTAGCATTCTTGAACTAAACATTTTCTCTGCATTTTGTTTCATATCAAACTAGACCTGAATATAAAATATACAGACTTATGTAATGAATAGAAAACATACATGAAAGTTACATGGTGAAAAAAAGATGCTCTGTTTTTTTTTCTTTTCACAAATCAATGCAAAAGTATGAGTTTTTAAAAAAAACTGCAAATGTACTTGTTTTTTGGAAATTAGTCAGACAAATTAACGCTTTAAGGCAAACGACTTATAAGTCACACAAATGAACCTGAAGAAAAATGTAAGTGTTTGAATTCATGTGAATTACAGCACACCTTTGCCTTGTAAAGGTAAACTGTGATGAAGATTGCTGGGGGGTTTTCAGTCTGCTATCAAAACAATCAGTGAGTGACAAAGTATTAAAAAAAAACACAAACTAAAAGAAGTTTAATAAAGCCCTGAAATGCTGTTGGAGGAGTGACTGATTTGTGACTCATCAGAGGGAGATGCTGCTCTCTGTGGCAGATTGGAGTCTGGAAGATTTCAAAGACGTGCATAATTTTATCCTCTTTGTTGTACAAAAAAACTGCAAAAAAAACCCCAGCAACAATAAAACAAAGGCCTTTCAACACCTACTATTTGCTTTTTGAATCTCTAATCCCAGTCGATAGCTTTCTGTGCTCGTACTGGTGTGTTTTCACTCGTGTCTTTTCTTCCTCACTAATTTTGTTCACATCTTTTTTTTTTTTTTTTCAAAAAACTGTCACTCTGACACAACTCAGGAAGCCCACGAGAAGAACGACACGGTCGTCCAGTTTCGTTCTCCAACGGTAAGCGGCTCTCAGAGCCAGGACTTCAGAACCTACATCCAGCTGGACAACTGGGTAAAGGAGCTCAAGTCCTTCAAATACTACGCCAACCCCGTCTTCGAGAACGTGACGAAGAAGGTCATCACCGAGACCAGCATCATCATCGTCAAGGTTAGCACTCGCTGCACCGACTTCCGTTGCTCGAAACAATTAAGAGAAGTTGCTTTATCTGACATGAGAATTAAAATGAAAAGGGGGGGGGGAATTGCTGAGTTGCACTTCTGACACATTAACATTACTTAGCTGCTCATAGCCTTCTCGGCTCTGTTGCGCATAAAAGCTATGCAAATAACAGAGCACTTGTTATCTTTAAGTGTTGGTTGGAAATAATGAATGCAAATTAGTGTTGCAGTTAGCAGACCTTATAGAAATATAAGAGAATAGCTTAGGAAAAAAAAGGTTTGGGCCTCTTTGTGGTATTCTGTTAGGGATTACAATATTAAATAAAAATTAATGTTTTTTGTGGTTTAGATTAAGTCATTCTTTAAATCTACACAAATGTTCATGTCTTCAGATTTTTTCCACATAATTAAAAAGACACTTTGGACCTCCTAGTTGAATATTTCCACATATCTTATTCCAATTTCAAAATTGGAATAAGCCTCACTCTTGTTTACTGTTGAAGTATGACAGAGAAACCAATTGCACTTATTTGTTAACCTGCTTTTTTCCCCCTTAAATTGGAAGTTTGAAACAGAAAAAAAACTGAATTGTCATTGTTGTATTGATTGTGCACATTGTTCAATTTACATTTTCTTACTCCAATAAAATTATGACAAAGCTAACAGTCTGAGTTAATGTTTTGAGCTCAGATCAGAATAAACATGGGAGCTTTTCCGTTATTTTGTTGTGGTTTACGTAAACCTCCCTTGTATTAAAATTATAGGAAGTTTGACTTGTCGACTCCTAAGTGATTTGATTTGACAGAAATGTAAAGTTGATTTTCTTAAGTGAACAACTGCTTGTAATTATGCCTGCAGCAAGTATAATCTTAAGAATTTAAATGACTTCTAATTACTTTTCAACCCTTAAACAGAAAGGGACTGTTAAGCGTTTGCTCTTTTCACCCATTTCTAATTAAAAAGCCTAGAATAATGCTCGCTCTGCTCTTTTCATCATTTATCTCATTTTGTTTTTTTCTTCTCCCATCCTGTTCGGTCTCAACACGGTGAGCGTTTCTGTTGCTCTTCTCATGCAGGGTCGAGGGTTCTCCAGGGCCATGACCGCCAAGGAAGCCCAAGCGTTTGTGGGGGACATTCAGTATCAAGTCAACACGCTTCAGGACGACAAGCTGTTCCTGGACCCACCTTCCAGTAAGCCCCGGCAGCGCCGAGACACCCGCCCTGAGCTGCTGGACCTGATGGTAAGAACAGATAAAGACCAAGAGCTGAAGCATGGAGGAAAAGTCCAGCATAATGTAAAACTACTGTCCAATATTTTAATTTGCAAACAAATATTTAAATAAATAAATGGGACAAATTCAAATTGTTGTTTGAGAGTTAAATATGGTCTGAAACGCTTCTTTTTTGGACTTAAATTATTTGAAGGAATGAACGAGTTAATACGTGAATATAAATATCCAAAATCTAGTTTGGAGGTCAAATAAGCAAAAATGCCCCCAACTGTTTGGTGTGATTATACTTGTAGTATAGTTACAACATAACAAGCAAACAGTTTCTTGCAAAATTACTCATACCACTTGAACTTTTCCATGTTTTTTCACATCACAACCACAAACATCAATATATTTCTGCACAAAAGACCAACACATAGTGGTTATACAATTGTGAAGTAGAAAGAAAATGACACGTTTGACAAATAAAAAACTGAGAGTTGAACTGTATGTACTGTGATCTCTGTAGAAAACAGCTGCTCTGTGACGACATCAGAGGTTGAAGAAAACATAAAGGAACAAAGAGTATCATGAAGCAGACAGGTCAGGGATAAAGTTGTGAAGTTTAAAGCAGGCCATTTTGCCATTTTGCTGTGTACAAATTCACCCTAACTCATACAAAATGACACATTTTCACTTGCTGTGCCGGTTTAATATTTGAACCTGACAATTATTTGAAAACAAATTGAAATGCACTTAAATAAATAAATGTACACTCTTTGTTCCTGTATGAACTTGACACAGGCTCTCTGTGCAGCCTTTGCAGCTACAAACTTTAAAACGGAGAAATGTTCTTGGTCGTGGAGTGGAAGTGTAAATGAGAAGAAAATCAAAAAGTACATGTCCCTCAAATCTGCACTGAGAAACATTATTACTTGAGTAAATGTTCTTTGCAAAACTCCAGACCCTTATGCAGATGTATAGAAGAGAACAGCTATTCGTTATGAGTGTCTGTCGGCTGTGGTTCTCCGCATGTCCTCTATACGTCTTGAGACTTTTTCTTTTTTCCTTTTCTCCAGCTGAAGAATTTCTCTGTTGCTACAGGCCCCTTTAATTACATTTAATTATATCCAACCCACAATTGTGATGAATAGAGTAATCTCTCCCATGGGTAGTACCTAAAAGTGAGCTATTGTTTCATTTCTGCGGCTGTTCTGTGCTGCATAGTTAAGGAACATGACTGGACTATCAATAGTACAAGATGCGCGCAGTAAAGAAAGGAGAGTACACTGGAATCAGGCATAACATTATGATCACTGACAGGTGAAGCTGCACCACTGATCACTTGTTCATAGTGGTACCTGTTACTGAGTGGGACATTTTATCCTCAAAGTTATGTTATAAAGAGAGAAATAGACAAGAGTAAGTATTAGTTATGTTCTCTTCGGAAGGTGTCAGAAGATACTGTGCATCCCAGTTTATAGTGCTGCTGTTTTGGCAGCAAATGGAGACCATAATGTCACCCTGAACAATTTTATGTGTAAACATTTGTCTGCTTTAAAAGGAAACGGTGGCCTCTTCACAGCAGCAGTTTTGCATATGCTTTGTATGTCTGTTGCTGATTGTACAAAGGATGGGCAATATGGACTGAAATTCTCATGTTCTCATGTTTTTTGGCATTTTTTATGATAAAAATTACACTAAAATGTTCTCATGGAAATATATGTTTACAATCATAAGCAACCCCTACTTCTCTAAAAGTAAAACTTACATTATTGGATGGGCCATTTACATTAGAACCACCAAACACCACATAATAATTATGTTCAAGCATCTATTCAAATATATTGATATTAGTTGATGGTCTTCTTGTACCAACAGTAAAGAAAGTTACTTTAACAATCCCAACTGTCAGTTTTTGGGGTTTAAAGTAGGAACTTGCATTTCAACAATATTTTTTGTCTCTTCATTGTAATCAACAAAGCAATAATTGTTTCTTCCCGGTTTGCACTGCAGGCTTTTTACGGATTGGTCACAGCAGTTTTGTGTAATTGCAATTAGATTTTGGAAGAGTCACCTTCAGTTATTAAAATAAAATGTATTAATTTACGTGATGCATTTAGTTAAATATACTTTGTTGAAGGCCAGTATGTAGAACACACTGGCTTTCTGCTGGAGTGAAGCCGATCTTGTTCATTTTTTCACCACTAAAATGGATTTCAGCTGAAGTAGGAGCAGATTCACGTTTGTATATTTGTGTGTTGCTTTGCACGCTTTCCGCCACTGACTGTTTCTGGGTAAAACGTGCGTCATTCTATACATTACAAGAGTTTTCCACTGTGTTTCTCCACAGATCAAGTTTGGAAAGGGAGAGTGGGTAATCGGCTCTGTGCAGTATGAAAAGAAGAACGATTTGTCTCTCTACATAATCATCCCTGCAGTTATTGTGCCCATGCTGCTCATCATCATCATTTCAGTCTACTGCTACAGGTGAATTATTCTCACTCCCATGTGGTAAAATGCAGTGGCTGGGATTCAGACTAATGCTGATTTAATTACAAATCAGAATTTTTAAAAAAACAGTCTCAGTGTTCACACATGCACAAAACGATTCACAAATCCAATGCAAGATTCACAGTTTTAATGGCAAGGCAAATGTATCTTGAGTTTCCAGCTTCTTCTGGTCTGTAAATTTTGCTTCATTCGTGTGCGAGTGAAGAGACTCTCCTGACTTGACTCAACCCACAGATGTCATCTTCTTAACAGCGAATCAGTTATCTTCCTTATTTCAGCCAATCATAAGAACACACCCCACGTGGAGGGTGCAACTTGTGCATAAGCCAATCATATTAACCCATTTCAACAGCGCTTGCAGCCATGTTGAAGTTCAGACAGTTTACAACTCAACATGTCTCAAAGGCAGCAACAGTGAAGCAGCAAGATATTTAGCTATTTATCCACGTTATGAGAAGATTTTAATTATGAATGTTAATTGGTTTAATTGTGCAAACCAGCAAGCTGTGTAAGAGGGGCTACAGTACCAAGCTATGCTAACCACAAAATTGAATTTCTTGAAATGAAGCCAAAGCAAGGTAACAGATTGGGGTTTTGTGAAATTACTGGCCCTAGAGCTTTCCTCAGCCCCAAGATAATAATAGCGTTGGTTTTAAAGTTCTGGTCTTTAGATGATCAGTTATTAGAGCAAGGTAATTATTCATTTAAATTACACTTTTCAAAAACACAAAGTGATTATTTTACCTATCCTACAAGGCTGAGCATGCTGCCTGCCAAAATATGTGCCCCTTCTAAAATACAGGAAGATGTGAACACTGGTGTGAGCATTGGGGTAAAAATTGTACGTTGGTGTTAATGACAAGGTGGCAGCAAGGTGGCAGTGCCGGAGCTCCCACAGTCGCCACGAGTTTGGAATAACGCAGAGCTGCAAGTTGTGTTTGCATCAGAAATACACATATGAATCTTGCTCTGTGCATTTGTGAACACTGACACTGTTTTACCGCCATGGTGCAGCGCAGGTGAAATGTTTTATCGGACCTAATGGTCAATGCATTTACATCTTACCTCTCCTCTTTGTATGCGTTTAGGAGAAAGAGTCAACAGGCCGAAAGAGAATATGAGAAAGTCAAGCATCAGCTGGAGAACCTGGAGGAGAGCGTTAGAGACCGCTGCAAGAAGGAGTTCACAGGTAATACGAAACCAGCTGCTAATTCTCAGCAATGTGATTAATGTCTGACGAAGAGTGTTTCATTGCTGTGATTTTTTTTCCCACTGCAATTAATTCAGCTCTCCCTCTTAGTATTGTTCTGTCATCAGAATGAGAAGTGGTTTAGCAAAAACGGTTATGTAAAGCGGTCTTTTTATGTGGAATTGATTTTTCCTGGAAGGTTTTTTTTTCTGTCTCTAACAACATAATTTAGACAGCTCAGCAGTGCACAAAGGAAACAGAAAACAAATCCAACAGCTTATTAGGTAAAAATACAGTAATTTTCATTTTTTGTTGCATTTTGCAGACCTGATGATTGAAATGGAAGACCACACGAACGAGTTGAGCGAGGGACGAATACCCTTCCTGGACTATAAGACCTACACCGACAGGGTCTTCTTCCTGCCGTCTAAAGATGGAGCCAATGACGTGATGATCACAGGGAAGCTGGACATCCCACAGACTCGGAGGGCGACCGTGTCTCAGGCGCTCAACCAGTTCTCCAACCTTTTGAACTCCAAAACGTTTCTGATTAATGTAATTACACCAAAAATTACTTTCCAACAGGCTTTTTCCATGATATTTTTATACTTAAATAAACTTGGCGAGAAACCGACATGTTAGATGGATCAAGACTAGGAAAATTAGACTTATTACCTTGGATTATTCCAACATTATAATCTCAAACTAAGTTCTCACTCCTGATAATGTTTGCTATGTTGAATATTAAGTCTTTTAGCATTTGTGAAATTTAGGACTAACTCTTTGTTGTTTTTGTGTCGTTCTATCAACACACACTGTCTGCACTGTACACTTTAGAATGTTACAGCACCGTTTGACTCGTGTTCATGAGAAAGGATAAAAATCAACAGTCCATATTTAAATCTGCCTCTCTTGCTCAGTTTCATAAATTTAATTTCAAAGGACAGGCAGTGGTTATGCCACCTCTGTGGCAGTACAAACTTGCAGCAAGCACAGCTGAAGACGTGCATTTATCATGCAGTTGTTTATGCGCAGACAGCTGCAGAAACACTCACCATTTGTTCCTGTGACAGTTTTCATTTGGAAGATCCCTTACGTGCATTTATCTCTGGTGTTATTTTACGGGCGTGTCGGATAATATCTGCAACTTTTTCTTTTCAGTTGTGTTTTCACTTGAAGCCCCTGAACACTTTCAGTTCTGTGTTTGAATTTATGATTTATGACATAGAATGTAAAATTAAAGGCGTTATGTTGCCTGCAGAACACTGAACTTTGGGTTTCAATGTATACAACGATGACAAAATGATTATCGGCAGTGTCAATAGGTGACATCAGAAAGATCAGAGGAAGAAATCAGGATTGTTGTTTGGAGTTTAATGCCCAGGCTCTGTAAATTTCATCACAGTGGTGAATTTCCTCTGGCACCAAAAACTAATTAAAGAGCTTTTTGGTCAATGTTATATATTGCTATTTATAAGCATAAATCATTTAAGTATCACTTTTCACAATACCTTTTGTGCCATGAAGCTAATATTTATATTAAACTTTGATTCAGTTTGGTTTTGAAAATCCAACTTAATTCCTGTCACTGTGTAGAGAGTGAATATAGAGTCTATTTTAAAGTCAGACTGCTGGCCTTTAAATTGAGGCCTGTCATGTTGGTGATGCGGCATCAGAATAGCTGAAGACTGAGCTGGGAGATACGTGTGAAGCTTCCTATTAATCCAATATTGCTGGCACAGGAACAACCTCTGAAGTGTTAATGGTGTGTGTGTGTGTAGGGGGATTCTTCTCCCACTAATTGGGATCATTTCTAAGCCACAATGTTTTTACAGGGCAAAACTAAAATTACCTTGATGATTATAATTTTCACTGGCATTAGTCATTTGATAATTTAAAAGCATATCATGGCAGGATTTGCTTCAGCGTGAGTAAACCTCATCGCGATCGCTAATTCACTTCATCCTCCGCCTGTGTCTGCGTGTTGCAGTTTATCCGCACCTTAGAGCGCAGTCACGACTTCAACGCCAGGGCCAAGGTGTACTTTGCCTCCTTGCTTACCGTGGCCCTGCATGGGAAGCTGGAGTACTACACGGACATTATGAGGACATTGCTGCTGGAGCTGATGGAGGAGTATGTCCACAGTAAGAACCCCAAGCTGATGCTGCGTAGGTGAGTGAGAACCAACTTCACGCGCTGCTTTTCCTCAAATTTCAAAGCTGACTTTTCAATTTGTGCTTCCAGCAGCTCAAATTTTACATAAGTAAGGTATCTTTTTTGTTTGACTAGATTGCTTGCCACCACATTTATTGAATATTTTTTTTGTAGTATTCTCCTGTTTTTTGGCTCTGCAGGGTCAGGAGAAAAGCGAATAGGTGGATATTAGCTGTTCTCCTGCTTAGTCAAACTTTTTCACAGGTCGCTAAAGGTCTTCGTGCTGAAGCTCTGCAAGGCGTCTCTCCATTTCTAGACTTTGGCATTGATCTCACCAGACAGTTGAGGCGGACTGGGAATGGGCTCAAGATGCATCGGACTGTTTCATTCTGGTGCCATATTTTCGGTTGAATTTTGCACTCACTACTGTAGTCCTATTTGAACGAGCCAGACTGCAGCTCAGTCTATTCCAGTCCTCCTCCTTCTGTTCTTCCTTCTGTTTTTTCTTTTTCGTCCTTGGAGCCCACCGCGATCCCCACAGATGACTGCCGTTCATTTTTAGCATCTTTGATAACGTCTAAAATTTTATGTCTGACAGACTCTTAAAACTCGAAATACATCTACAAATAACATTCATCTTTTACCAAGAGTTGTGCTTTAAAATCTTTAATTAGAAAATGAATGATGTATAATTGAAACAGTTTGAAGGTGAGAATACACACAGTTCTGGCCAGAAATTTACTGTAGTCGTCATTGATAGAAATATCTGGTGTAGATTCTCATTCATTAAGGACAGGACAATCCTAAGCGCTTAATTAGAAGTCAGTAGAATTGCTTCTATTTTTATGTTTTTGGAAGATGTTCAGCCGTCATCCAAAAAGTTTCTTCAGTTCTCCAACATGGCTTATGAATTTTTTCAGAACAATCACACTAAAGTAGCAATTTGACCATGTAAGTCACTCGCTCCAGGTTTATGTTGTTGTTTAACGATATAAAAAGATGAGTCAGATTTCATCTTTCTAACACCTACTCTGTAACACTTTCTTTTTCTTCAGTCACTTTTTCTTCTTTAGCAATTTTTCACCTGCGAAAAAAAACAACTCGCATAGTTTGGGATATGTTTCGATGGTTGAACAAAAATGTGAATATTATGCTGAATAAAGGGTCGGACCTGCAGTGACTTGCTTGTCCTAATTGCCCCTTTAGTGACTTAAAAGGCCTTATTAATGTTATTGTTCAAACTACAATTTATTATCTTGATACTTCCAGAATATTCAGAACTGAAGAAGCCTTTTGGATGAGAGGCGAAACATCTGAAAGGATGAAAGGATGTGAAGTCCCCTTGTACTGGAGCACTTGTCAGGGATGACTGAGTATCTACAGCAGACATTTAATGTAAATGTCATGTCAATTACAATAAACTTTGAAAACAATAATAGGCTTTGCAAGAGTGACTTTTTCTCCAGCCTTGAGTCTGTATATATTGGAGAAAAATTCTACAGTAAATACAAACTCTCATTCTTATTTCTGAATTTCACCTTTGCAAAAGGATCATATTAAAATGCTCAAATAAAAAGTAATGTGACGCACTCGCCCGTGATGATTTGACGTAAACCTGGGACCAGAACTATCTCATTTGCATTAAAACATTCCCAAATACTGTTTTTATTTAAAAATTTTGACTTTAAAATCCTAATGTTTTTCCCTTTTTTTGACTTTGCCAACTGGATTAGTCTTTTAAAATATACTGCTCAAAAAAATAAAGGGAACACTCAAACAACTCCAAGTAAATCAAACTTCTGTGAAATCAAACTGTCCACTTAGAAAGCAACACTGATTGACAATCAATATCACCTGCTGTTGTGCAAATGGAATAGACAACAGGTGGAAATTATTTTCATAATTATTTCATTAATTCAGATCTAGGATGTGTTATTTGAGTGTTCCCTTTATTTTTTTGAGCAGTGTATTTCTGTTGTTTCAAAAAAAAAAAAAGGGACCTAACAGATTTCTTTGAAATGCATCATCCTCCCTGCAGTCCAGGCTGTTTGTTTGTTTGGTGTAACGATGCCATCAGTGTCAAATCGTCTCCTGATTACACAACAGTCGCTCATCGCCTCTGAGACGGGGTTATGTGATCCGAACTATCTGCTGTTCTGAGGCAGGCTGCGACTAGCTGCAAGCAGCAAGCACACATCCTAATTATTCCCCAGTGGAGAAGCTCATTATGTTGATTAGGCCATTGTACAAACACAGGCCCCTCTTATACGCGAGACATCTAATTAGGTATGCCACAAGTTAACAATGGGTGTCACCCGCCCGTCAAGTGACCGCTGACACGAGATTTTGATTAAAATATCTTGACGCTGATTAGCTGTTCAGAAAACGCTGAAGGGTTTTGGCATTTCCAGGAGCACATAATGGAGATGTTTGCTGTTCCGTTTTATTTATCCTTGATGTTGCTTTCAGTGGTGGTGATTTATTTATTAATTAATTTTTTTAAGCTGATCCATCTGGAACTCGCATAACATGCAGAATGACCCTTATGTAAATAATTGAATCTGTCCATGAAATTTCTGCTCTGATCTGCCATCCATCCCAATGCATATATTCAGTTGTCTGCTCATGCATTTCAAATTAAAACTGATATTATTTACATGTTTGATGTTTTCATCTCATCTCCTTTTCAGATCAGAGACGGTGGTGGAAAGGATGCTTTGTAACTGGATGTCCATCTGCCTTTACCAGTTTCTGAAGGTAACAGGATTTATTGTTTGGCACCTTAGAATCCATTAAATCGGTTTTGATGACTGAGCAGGTGAAGGCATATTAATTGGTCTTCGCATCATCAGGACAAAAAAAAAAGAAAAACCCACAGTATTAAAAATCAACTTTCAGTCACTCCTCTGCAGCACGACAGGAGCAAAAACAGCAATAAATTAGCACCGCCTGCTGCTATATGAGCAGGAGGGATGGAGGATAAGTTACAACAATTTTTCATATGTGTGCTTATTAAACGAGGCATAGATCTGAGGTTACATCTTTTTCAAGACATAGTGAAGATTTTTGTTATAAATGTTAACCAACATAAGCAACTATGATTAACATGGGATCATTCTGGGGATGTAATTAATACCCTAGGAGCAGTAACTTAGTGATTTTGCTTCAAAATGAAATGTGTTCCTTTTTGATCAGCTTACATGGTGTTTTGCTCTCTTTTTATGAAAATAAAAACACATATTGGTGATGAACTTTCTTACTAAATATTAACAACAAAAAAGATACTCACTTTGACATTTGAAATAAATCTTATGGATTCTCTCAGTGTTGTAGTCAAGACCACCTAACCCGAGATCAAGACAAGACCAAGACCAGCGCCCTGTGCTACATCACCCAATAAAAAGATTGGGTGATAAAAAAGATATGGGCATTTGCCCATATCATTCATGTCAGAAATCAGCAATCATTGAGGCTCCAGTCCAGGGCCGGCCCAAGCCTCCGTGGGCCGGCCCTGGACTAGAAATTTGGTTGTAGGGCCCTCTAATTCTGCTAATAATGTATCAGCAGTGCGATCATTAGCTCATTCACACACCTGCTATAAACTTATTGCATCTCTGACAGTGCTGCTTACATTATATACATGTATAACATAGGATACATTTATCGGCCAACTGATTTATCTACCTGTTGATTTCTGGGCGTCGATTTCCTTAATTTTGGGAGATCGTGATTGGCCGATACTTACACGTGAAGCTTATCTTGTCCCTTAATCTTATTGGTGTCTATTAACTCTTTAGAGAGCCTCTTTGTTGTGACACTACTCATGTACAAAAAAAATTGCAATATGTGTAGCATTTAAGCTTTTTATCGTTATTTTACATGTGAAAATCTGTCATTTAAAAAAGTCTTGTACATTTAAAAATCAGTCTCTGTCTTCTTCTGCTCTATGGTGAGAGGTTTGACTGACAGACTGACCCACTGGGTCAGGTCTGAAAATTTACAGTTAACAATATTAACTCCGCTGTTACCAACTCACCGACTTTCTTGCTATATTCAGCAACATTTCAGACAAAAAAAAAATTTTAATATCAACTAAAAACTGCAGTCGGTGCAGCTGACATTCTTTGATTAAATAAATTTCTCTTAAGCCTTACTCCAATAGCTAAAACTGTAATTTATACCTGGTGAGTCTTTCTCTGCTGAGAATGAAGATCGGTACTGGACTGATTATATGAATTCAAATTATTTAAACAGAAGTTTCACATAACTTAGAAGTTGATGGAAAAATAAAGATTGTTTGAGCCACAAAATGTTTATGCTCAGCAGCAAACCGCATATCCCCAACTATTAATTGAACTAAAGCAGTGACGTAAAACCGGATTCTTTCAAAATAAAACTCATGCTGAAGCTACAAAATGACATTATCAATTTTTTATTGATCGTAAAACGAGGCTCCACATTACTAACGGATCCAAGCCATTCTTGAAAAAATGATTATTAACCTTTCAGTTGAAGTTTCCTGATACTTGTCAAAATAAAAGTCATGCTTTTTCATGTTTGAGTTATTACCAGGGTAAAATCCAGCTTAATAATGAACTTTTTAAAGAAAACAACAAGACATTCTCTGCTTTGATGTTTGTGTGAATGTTGCGAATTAATCTTGAGTCGTCTGACAACGATTAACTTCCTGATAATAACAGAGAAAACCTCCCTTAAGTGTCGTTTTATTCCTGTGCATGTGTGTGTGTGTGTGTGTATGTGTGTGTACTAGGACACCGCAGGCGAACCCTTATACAAACTGTTCCGAGCCATCAAGCACCAGATTGAAAAGGGGCCAGTGGACGCCAGAGTGAAGAAAGCCAAGTACACGCTCAACGACACCGGCCTGTTGGGCGACGATGTCGAGTATTCTGTCCTGGTGAGATAAACTCACACGCACACGTTTCCGCATACATATTCGGAAACCCTGTCACAAAAACTGCACACACACTGCTTTCTGATTACACAGTGTTTTATGCGTGATGGGCTACAGAAACATGCTCACACAAATGCTCTGTGGTGTTGCCATAGTAGCCATACACAGGAAGAAATCTTAAGGCGACAAGCCTGCTTTCATGTGACATCCATTTCCCGTTGCCAGTGTTCTCATTCTTAAAAGAGAGAGGGGAAAAAAAAAACATCACTGGCGACTCATTCCAGGATAGCAGAAAAATGTGTGGTTGAGTACAAGTCGGAACAAGAATGGAGTACAAGCCCCCTCGGCGACCTTTCCTTGACCTTGCCACCTGCGCGTGCTCTGCATCCATTTGGGCAGCTTTCAGGAGTGGGAGGGGGAAGCCTGCACCTTTCATTTTAGTATTGTGTTTCAATAATGGACGCTAATCTGAGCACAGCTGTTTTCTGTTAAAGTCAGCACAAACAAAAAGACCCATGGGTAATGGCGTCGTCGAGGACAATTATCAAATTAGGCTGAATTACACATCTCCCGTTGTGATGGATCGCCTTCTGTGATTAAATTTCATGGGGAAGGGAGAATAGAGGGGGAGCAAAGACGAAACCAGTTGGATTTCGCATGCAGATGCCCACTATCTGCCTGTGAAATCTTTACCTCTGCCTTCCGTCCACAGCATGTTCACGTCAAATACAGATCAGTTATATGAGCTTTCAGCTGTGAATTTCTTTGCTGCCTGTCCACTGAGTGGTCAGTTTTCTCTAATAACTGGCAGAGTATAGTAGGTGACGTGGGTCAGGGTTTTCTCCAGCTGAGTCCTGGTCATTAGCCAGCCAAGGTGACAAAAGTCATGTCAGGTGTCAGTGCAGCATGCATGTGTGTGTGTGTGTGTGTGTGTGTGTGTGTGTGTGTGTGTGTGTGTGTGTGTGTGTGTGTGTGTGTGTGTGTGTGTGTGTGTTGAAATGCCCTGTTGCCATAACGGCAGCCTCCCAATTGGCTCCAGATGTGGACATTTGTCTGCATGCTTTTAATTCTCAGTACTCCATGCTGGTACACATGCTGTCTCCGACTCGGTAACGATGTGCATGTATCTGTGTGTTTACCTGTCAGACCCTGCAGGTGCTGGTTCAAGGTGAGGGTCCAGATGTGACACCCGTCAAGGTGCTGAGTTGTGACACCGTCTCGCAGGTGAAGGAGAAGATCATAGAGCAAGTATACAGGAACCTGCCTTACTCCCAGAGACCCAAGGTTGACAGCGTCACTCTGGGTAAGTATAGAAGAGGCACTAATGAGTCCTGTAACATGGTGAACTCTTGAGCTTTTGCACATTGGTCATGTCACAACCGCAAACCTTGACCAACACACAGTAGCTCATGGCCGTGAAAAAGAAAATGGTTCCTGATTTTCTTTTTTTCTGTAGAAATAAAACTCTCAAGCATTTCAGACATTTATATTCAGCCCCATAAAGAAAATTACAATTACCGTAATGAGTCATCTAAAGAGTCAATAATGTCCACCTGTTGTTTATTAGAGAACATTAGTGAACAAACTTTATCATGCAGACAGGTCACAATTGTGGAGAAATTTAAAGCAGGTTAATAATAACAACTAATAATCCAGGAAATATAATAATAATTCAAAAATTTAAGATTGAGACAGGGGAAAAGGTTCAACAACATGAAAGCCAGAGCAGCAATTTTGTATTTTTAAATCAAATCAAATTTGGTAGAATGGTCTAGTCAAAGCCCAAAGTTTAATTTGAATGAGAATTATGACAAGATTTGAATATTGCAATTCAGGACGTCTTTGTTAAATGTGGTTAAATGTAGACTAGTTTACAAAAAAATGAGCAAAAAACAGTCTCTGGAAGTACAAAGTTTGTGAAGAAAAGAACAAAGTGTTGATTCCCGCGTACAAGTGCGTGCCACATTTTAAAGATCATTTTAGAAAAAAAAAGAAAAAAAAAGACAAGATCAAGTTTGAAAAGCCATCTATGCTTTTCTGTCTACTTCAGTCGTGTGCTGCTTTGTGCTTCCCGCCAGTAAAATCCCAGTGAAGTGTGATCTACTCTGAAGCTGCAATGTGACACCAATTGTAAAGGTTTCAAAGTATGAACACTTTTACCAGGCACTTCAGATAAGTGGTTGCAAAATTATAAAAATCCAAAATATTTTCATTAAGATTAAATAAAGGCTTAATTTGGTGAAGGTCTGACTTTTATTTCCGCAACACGAAGCAATCCTTCATCCTTTAACAGAGTTATCTCTCCAGTGTAGACAGAAACCGTTGGGACCGACTTGAAAGGCTAAAGCTCCACAGATACCACATAACATCAAAGCCACTCGCATCACTCTGTAGATCTAATTTCTCCAGACGTTTTAGATAGAGAGCCATCTTTGTTCACAATTAATAAAAAGATGGCTCCCGAATATTTGCCGAAATCGTAAGTGAATCATCCAGACCATCACGTGTGTTGTCAAGTCTGCAGCGATGCAGAAAATGTTGGGGTGCAAAACACAGATTTTAATTAGTTCTAAATTATTCATAAGACTGATGTCTTTTCTTCACTTCCAACTTCCTCATGTGTGCTCTTAAAACCCCTGCAGAAAGCTGGTTGCCTGCCATGAATAAAATAACTAATTTAAATCTGTGTACTTACCTAAAATAAAAACATACATTTGTGGACATTTTCCAAAGTGTTTCAGTATACCTTCCATCCTCTTGCCGTTGACAGAGTGGCGGCCCGGCTCAACAGGACAGATTTTATCCGATCTGGATCTGACCTCCCAGAAAGAAGGCAGATGGAAGCGCATCAACACTCTGGCACACTACAATGTGAGTACCGGCAAAATATTTAATCCTAACTTTAAATGCGGTATCTTAACAATCACTGCTGCTGCAAAAAAAAAAGAAACACTTTGGATTTGATAAGAATGTAGGGAGATGAGTAGATAAACGTGGGTGTGTAGAAGCAAATGGAGCCTAATATTTTCACTTCATCTCAGTCACTCAGTCTGAGTTGCATATTGGAGCGATTTGCATGAAATCTGTCTGCAGCAGATTTTCTGACCTGAATACATTAGCACATATTGAGTTATTGTTTGTTCTTATCGCAAAACTGCCAAAGGTTTGAATTTTACACCATTTCTTGCTATTGCATGTACGACTGGAAATAATGAAAGAAAAGAAAGAAGAACACATCTGTTCTTCAATTCACAATCTGTCATCTCTAATATGAAGTATTTAGGGCAAAATAAATCTCTCCACCTCTTAGCTAAATAGCTACAAAATCTACATACAAAGTTGACGTGTGACACACAACACAGTGGCTGTGACTCTTTGCCATACTTTATGTCTGTCAAGTCACTTATTGGGGGAAAGGAATTACCATAATGAGGGGAAGAGGGGGATTCATGACAAGGACATTTCTCTTCACTTCTGCTTATGACCCCCACAGAGCATTGTGTTGTAAATTTAATGTAAAAATTCTGCCGCCATGAATATCCTACACATGTATTCAGAATATGCAGGGACTTTTGTGGCATATATAACAGGATGGCAGTCAGTGGATATGATTAATGGTTGAGAAAATGTGTGCATCATCAAGAAGCTTGGGAGTTTTTCTCCATGTACATCGCTCCCTGGCTAACTTACTTTCTAGTTAGGATATTATTATCAAACTCATTCTCAAGTCACCACTTTTCTTTAGACTTTTTCCCTGACCCTGCCTGCTTGCCAGTTTTGGTTCCCAACTGAATGTCACTAAATCTTCTTGCCACTGTATCGATTGTGAGACAATAAAGGTCACGCGGTAATATCCCCTACTTGCCGTGCTTTTCGGCTACTTAAATCCTGATCTTTCAGAGCGGCTTGGCCTCCTTTGAGCCTGCCTGCCTCTCCTTTGTTCTTAGACCTCAGCCTAACCGCCATGGATTCATCGCCCGTGTCAGAGTGCCGCTAATCACAGTGCATGTGCGGTCAATAACGGGGTGTGCCGCAGAAACCGGCCTCTAAATATCACAGTTAAGACCCACTGTTCATGTCTGCTCAGTCGCATTGATTGGAAATAAATTCTGGGGAAAACAAATGGGATTGAGAAACACAGTTGATATACAGCACAGGGCCTTGTTACAACTACCAAATCCAATGTATCTTACTGGGATTTTATGTGACAGACCAGCATAAAGTAGTTCATACGTTTTCTGAAAGAAATAAAATTCTAATTATTTTTCAAAAATATGCATAGACATTGCTGTTCACCAAAACTGTAATTCTGGAGCTCAAGTAGAAGAATCAGTACAACTATTAGTCTTGAATTCTACAAATTTTCTATTGTTTTTCTGGAAATGTGTCAAGAAAAGGAAGCTGTTTCTGCTATTAGCATTTCATAACAAGCCATGTAGGGCCACAGTGGGGGACTTTTTTGTTTGTGTGGACGTGGGCCTAATGGGGCTGAACATAAATATGTATCATATTTTTTATGCTTGATAAAAATGTTTTGTCTATGAAATTGAATCACAATGAAGTGCTGCTATTGGCTGTGTTTGAGTGTTGTTACAAGCCAATGCATTTATCAAATTCAAGTGATATTTTCTGACATCTGTGCCGTCGTAGGTACGAGATAATGCCACGTTGGTTTTGTCCAGAGTGCTTCACACACAGCAAAACTACGACCAGAACCAGGAAAACCACGAAGAACGTAAGTATCCAGCAGCACACATAATGAACATCTACAAGTACAATCCAAAAGATCAAACATAACATGGCATACAGATTATAGTACATTTCTTTGTCTTGTTTTCTTTGGGCTCCTAAAAAATCCCCACTCTCATTAAACATGCTAATATATCTTCTATGTATTCCACGCTCTTATATTATGCTGAAACTGTATGCATTTTTTCTTTATTCTTTTTTTTTGGGACACATTTGATGAGAGCTGTTTATCTTGTGTTTGCTTTCTTTCAAATCTGTCTGAAAATTCCCCCCTCATGTTTACTCATCAGAAATGCACATGGGTAATGAAACTGATCTAAAGTAAAGCCTGAACTTTTTTTGTTGTCTTTCCGCAACAGGAAACGCTCTGTTGGACGACGATAAAGTTTTCCATCTGGTGAGGCCACAAGACGAGCTGGATGAGATCAAATCCAAACGAGGGAGCATAAAGGACAAGTCGATGACCAAAGCCATTACAGAGATCTACCTGACTCGACTTTTGTCTGTAAAGGTAAAACACAAACACAAAACCGTATATATACAGTACCTCCTGACATTGGAGCATTTTGGGGGTCCAAATGGGATTAGGTGACGCCTCAGAAAGAACAGAAACGCTCAAAGCTTAAACCCAATATTTTTCTCCCAGGTTCGTCTCAGAGCTTTAACTTCAATAACTGTCAGCTAAACACTTTCACATTCTGTCTGTTCACTTTCAGGGAACACTGCAGCAGTTTGTGGACGACTTCTTCCGCAGCGTGTTGTGCTCCGGGGCCGTGGTCCCACCAGCTGTCAAATATTTTTTTGACTTCCTGGATGAACAAGCGCTGAAACACAACAATGTTGATGAGGAGACCATCCACATCTGGAAGACTAATAGGTAAAAAGATTGGAAACAGGAAACATATTGTACTTCAACCAGGTTCTATGCTGCTGTTCTGTTCTGATCTGATCAGGTAAAATAACATCAACTGAAAAGAAATGATACATAATTTTTCTAGTTTTTAATAAAACTGTTACTGGAATTTTTGATGCTTCAAATATAGCAGATACTCCAGGCTTATAAGTCTTGATTATGGTTAAGAAAGCATTAACATTGTCAAATTACATTTGATTGCTAAGAGAAAACATATCAGTCAGGCTTTTTTTTCCCACAGACATTCTGTATCCAATAAAAGCCTGTGCTTGCTTTATTGCTCAATACTTACCCGGACTAGAGGCAGACTGACTTGCAATATCAAAAATCATTTTTTCCCCGCATTCCCTGCAACCGAAGATTAAAGCACAAATGAACAATGAGATCCACCGAATACCTGTTGCCTAGATTTTACTGTTCCATCAAATACTTATTTTTGTAGTTTTCCACTCAGTCGTACACTAACAGCATATCCCCAAAGCTGCATCTTCTAAACCAAACGCTTGTTATAATTAGACTCTTTTTCACAGAAAAGAAGCTGGTGTATAAATCACAAAGACCTTTCAAGCTTTTACTTGGCTCATTTATCATCCTTGAAGTTTGCAGAACATTGTCCACTTGACAGTAGAAGAGGGTCCAGCTCCGTTCTGTGAGATTGCTTCAGAAATGTAACTTTACCTTGTAAACCACTGTAGCCACTTTCTCCCACTTATCTCGGCTCAATGTCCATTTCTACCCGGACCTGCTTGGTCTCATAGTGGGACTCCTTGTGAAAAGATTTATTGCAAAGTTTTTCACACATGACATTCGGTTTCCCAGGAGTAATAATATGGCGTGACACAGAGGCCTATTTCATTAAGCCACTGACCCCAGGGTGAACCACGTTGCCATGGCAACCACTAGACAGTACCTATATGTGTTTTGAACTCGTGCCTTTCTTCTCTGACCATCACAAACATAAACATGTGGAGCGGACCTGGATCAGGTTTCTGTCAGCAGTCACTCCAGGTGGAGTTGTACCGCTGCTGATTGCGTGACAAAAAGATGTACTCGGATTGATACGCATCTTTTAATCTTTCTTTAGGCGTGCATGTTTTTTCTCAGTAATAAAATAGCAACTTGCAGCATCACCTAATAAAACACAGTACAGTTCAGGCATTCGCCCACATTTCAGACCTTCTTTGACTAACAAAATCACAGCTTTAAATCTGCCCAGCAGCAATCTGATTTCTTTCTTTTTTTTTTTTTTTACATTTTTTCTTCTCTCTCTCTGATACAATAACTCTCAAAGAAAGAAAACTTACTTGTTCTGGGAAGCGCTGAATGCAAATGCACGATTTCGGCGTACTTGGTTTGCATTTGCAATCTCTGCGCTCCCATGTGCCATTTTAGTGCATAAATTAGTGCCACGTCGGCTGAGGCTCAAGCGCACAAGACGCTGTGTTGCATGTAGATGGTCGTGATTGACGCGCTTGCTGGCTGGAGAGCAGCCGCACAAGGACACGAGATGAGCGATTTAATTACTTACTATACTCTACGCCCAATTCTGCATCGACCCGTTCTGTTTATCAAATCAACCGAGGGGCATGTATTTAATATGAATGTGTGTATGAAGCATAACAAACAAACAAACATGGTAATTATTTCCCAAGCTAAATTAATTCTGTGATTATAGTAACAGCTATTTTTATGCTCCTATTGTGTTCTAACCGAAGCCTTCCCAGAAGATATTACCGAATCAGGATGAATTTTACACGCCGCACGTCTCCTCTCCCAGATGTCGGGGATGTTCGCGGTGATCTGGGAGGGCGGGAGGGGCTGAGGGAACTGCTGTATTTTTGGGCGTTTTTCATGAATTCATAAGCTGAGAGGGAGAGCAGAAAGAAGAGCACTGAGCGTGTTTTTTCCTTTTCAGGAGGGAAATTAGCACAAGCGCCGGGGCGTTACATTATATAGTCTGGTCTTTACGTTAAGCTGCGCAGGAGCTGAAAAGGTCAACGTGCTGCAGCTACTTCGGCTTTCTTAATCTCTGTTTGTTAGCGTGGACGGAGTGTGGACTTACAGGGAGGTCAGCTTTGAGCAAAACGCTGAAATAAACAGCAACGGCTATTGTTCTGAATAACACTAACACATACAAAGCAGGCTTTTCTCTACCCCTGCTATTACCTTCTATTGTAGTCGGTTCAAACCACAGACAAGTGCTCTTTCCCACGGCAAGCCTCCTCGACTTACATCAGTTCACTGTTGAGATTTCCCTCAAGTTTTAAAGCATTAATGGTGATAATCACAGCGATTTTAAAAAAAAAAATTTAATTTGTTGTTGTTGCCTCCTTCCCTTCCAGCCTGCCGCTGAGGTTCTGGGTGAACATCCTCAAGAATCCCCACTTCATCTTCGACGTCCACGTGTCTGAAGTGGTGGATGCGTCTCTGTCAGTCATAGCCCAGACATTCATGGATGCTTGCACCAAGAGCGAGCACAAACTCAGCCGGGTGAGTAGAGCCAAATCAAAGGAGTGGGAATGAGGTGCAAGAGAAGGTGAAGGAATATACAGGAGCGGCTCATTACACCAAGACGAATATTTGAAATACTATTTTCAAATATTCTAATTTGAGATGTAGATGTATGTCCTTTTACTCATGCTTTCATTTTTCTTTTTTCATCTACAGGACTCTCCAAGTAACAAACTACTCTATGCAAAGGAGATCTCCACCTACAAGAAGATGGTGGATGAGTAAGTGTGGTGTCCCATCTGTTTTCATGTCAAGTTTAAAATCCTCCAGATTTCCCTGAGACCATTATTTTTTTTAATAGCTGTTGCATAACTGAGTCTGTTCTTTATGTGTGTGTAGCTACTACAAGGGCATCAGGCAGATGGTCTCTGTCAGCGATCAGGACATGAACACTCATTTGGCGGAAGTGTCACGGGTGAGAGACGCAGCTGTCATTATCTTTGGCTTGTAGTCGACCTTGCTTTAAATGTTTTAAGCCCAGAACGAGGCGGCAATACCACTATGTGCAAAAGAGAAAATGTTATGCGGTGCATAAACGTTATGAAGGAAGGCATTACATTTCTCTATCAATTTAATCTTCAGAGTTTTTTTTTTTCGCAACGGTTGTTGCCTTATTTTAAAGCATACAATTTTCTTGCAAAATGCACCCTGACAGTTTTGTTTAATCCTGTTGTGATGTGTTCACATCCACATCCCTCAAGTTATTTTCAAAATTACTGGTGCAGACAAATTTCTTGGCACCCCTTGAAAGGACGTGTCAAAAGACTTGCGGCATAGTCTTGCAGTGATTTATATTGATAAGTTCAACTTTAAATTTGAGTGAGTTTCTTCAGTGACTGGTTGCTGCCACTAACATTAACTTTGTAATAAATATTACTGAAGTGTTTGTTTCTTACTTAAGCTGTTCAGTTTCTATGAACTTTTTCATTTGACTTAACTTACAAAAATACCACAAAAAATAATTACAAAACAACCTTATTTTTTTTGCTGTTGAGGCCTGAGTTTGTGTTTATGTTGCATTTGCTGCAATAATCACAATCAAGTAGTTTGGTGTAGATTAGCACCCTGATTTTATGACTGCTTCCAGAGAGAAGTTGTGATGTAATATTGGTCAGATGACTTTAACCCATATTCCATGTTGGTTCTTTCCTGTCTCATCCTCTCGTCCACAGAGCATAAAGACTTTTCTTTGCATGGTGTTATGATTTCTCTCTCTTTTTTTTGAAAAGTTGAAATAAAAATCTGGTAGCATTTTAAGCAGGCTCTCATTAATGTCTCCAGGACTTGAGCTGTTCAACAATCTCAATTGAAATTGTTGGTGTTACAAACAGGCACAGATCATTTTCTTTTCAACAGGTTTTCTGCTGATTGCAAATAGTTTTGAAGAAAGCCAGAAAAACATATTGGAATCTGAAAACGTGGTTTTTATGTTGCATTTATTTTAATATTTTGATTGAAACTGTTTGAATCCTCTCTTAAAATAGGAAACATTTTCTTGAGCAATTATGAGTCAATTTATGTCTGATTGTTAAATGGAATCAAGTATTTCAAATTGCTGTGGTTATAGTATCTTGATTCTTGGATTATGTTTTTTTTTTTTGTTGCACAGACCACTTTTTAAGTTGCCTGTACAGGTAGACATTATCTACACTGGGGGGAAGGGTAATTGTTGTGCGCAATTTATTTCTTTCATTTTGTCGAATCTCTTACTTTTAAACTGTCTGTTTATGTTCTGCAGTCTCACACCGACAAACTGAACACCCAAGTGGCTCTCCACCAGCTTTACCAGTACGCCAGCAAATACTACGACGGGGTAAGAACCTCCCAGCTCTCCTATCGCACCCACGGAGGGCTATTCCACTGCATGCACTGCTGCCCACTCTATTTCTTTTTCTCCTCCTTCACTCTTGATATGCCAGAAAAGAGATTGTGTGAAATTTTAATTGAAAGCATTTCTGTGGGATGTGAATTGGAAAATTGCTTTGGGAATTGATTTTTTTTTTTTTTTTACCTTTTTTTTTTTTTTTTTAAAGTGTGTCGCCACTTGAGGTCACAAAAAGGAGGAGATAAACAAAACCTAATGAACAAGTCGGATAAACAAATGGGGCTTTCAGTCTCCCCTAAGAGGGGCTCACAAACAATAACCACTAATGTGACGTGACTGTTGATGGGGAATAACACCCGTCTTCCCTCCACACTTGTCACCCCTTTCCGATTTTTTTTTTTTTTTAACTACTCCAGCGCTACCCTTCCCCTGTCCTTCATCCAAATCCTCCTCCCCTCCCTCTTCTCTTGATATTTGCGACTGCTCCGTCGATCATTTCAATGACCGTCCTTCCGTCGTCCCTTTCAGATCATCGCATCCCTGGATGAGGATCCCGCCGCTCAGAGTAAACAGCTGACCCTGCGGCTGCAGCAGATTGCGGCCGCCCTGGAAAACAAAATGACTGATCTCTAACCCACCAAGAGGGACAAAAGTCAAGACATAGAGGGAGATCGCCAGTGACTACAGGGGCTAATTTCTTTTTCTCCTTTTTTTTTTTGTCAGAGCATAAAGTATGGAAATGCAAAAATCTGAGAGGGGGGATTCGTTTTGATGTGTGCTTCCCCCGGAGCGTGTATTTTTTATTTTTTTTTCTGGTTCTGTGGAGTAAACCAAGACTAATTAATTGCACACAGACATCAAAAAAAAAAAAAAAAAAGAAAGATTGGGGGAAAAATGATGGGTTCCGCTGTCATAGGTACGCCTTAAATCTCACTTGCCAAACCTTAAAGGTCTGAGCCCTTACTCATGCTCCACTGAATATTGCTCCCAGGATGCAGTATGAGAAAAGTCTTTGTGAGAATAAAGCCCCACTGTGGAGCACTGGTACCGCAGATAATCAGATGTTTGAATTTCTCTCTCTGTATGTGTGGAAAAAAGGGTTAAAGAGTTGTATTATATATTTTTTTTATTGTGCAGTCTTTATGCAGAAAGCTTTATAAGAAACAAAAAAAAATATCTTTTTAATTGGAATCACTTTGTGGTGCGGACAGTGTTTTTATCAGCCTGTGTGCGTAGATGCGTGCGTAGATGCGTGAATGGTAGCGTGTGCGTTGTGAGCGAGCGTGGGGGGTTGTGTGGGGGAACATGCGTGCGCACACAGGACGCCTAGGCGTGAGGGCGAAGCGACGCCCGCGTTCTCTCGTTCTTAAGTCCCCACCCCGCCGGAGCCTGTGCTCTCACTGAGCTTTACGACAGAGACCAAAGGGTCCGGACAGGGACGCCGGCTTCGTGTGACTGACGGCTTACCAGAGGTTTTGCAAACATTTCCTTTTGTTTTTTTTTTTTTGCTTTAAGCTTGATTGCCAACTCGTGCTCATGGAAATCGATAACAGCACAGCCTGACTCCCTTTATTGTACAGTGCCATGAAACATTCCACTTTGACTAAAGCACAGAAGGACATTTCTGAGTTTTCTTTAAGACATTTCAGTTGATTCATTTTTTTTTCTTCTTCTTGTATTACTTTTTTCTTTAGCTGTCAGCAAAGAGAAGCAGTTGCATTATGCCATGGCACCATGCGACTCATATTAGCCCTGCAATAACGTTGGTGTACTACGAGCTACAATAAAGTAGATTCTTGCTTTTTCTTACTCAATGTATTTGCCATAGCGTAGCAGTTGAGCAATATGTTAAAAAAAACAATTCAAAATTGATTTATGCATTTTTTTAGTTTGTCTTTTTATTGTGCCATTTCTCTATTACCATAGTAATGTTCCAAATAATCATTAATATCTCTGCCTCTTTTGCTATGAAATAGCCTAATGCTGATGGTAATGATCTGCCAGAGATGCAGTTGGTACTGCAGCGGCTTGTTGCGAACAAAACGTTGTTGTTTTACATTTTCTTTTTGTGGTTGTTGTTTCTTTAATGATGTCAGGGTGCTTGGGTTCAGTCGTGTATATAATTGCTTATGATAACTGAAATCAATGTCAGAGTGTGGCCTGAGTCGCAACGAGGATTTGATATTTCTTTGTCCATTAAACACCGTCCCCAAATTGTAGGTCTGGCCGTCGGCCGACCTTTTTAATTGTCCTCCCTTCGTAATCTGATGGGTGGACGCGCTTGGCCGACACGCGGCAACAAGCTCCAGAGACCCCAGAATGTTAACGATTCCTGCCTTGGCTAGAGTGACGTTTGCACAGACCTCAAGCCTGCCCGCCTGCCGTCTCAGCATGGCGCTCCGGCTTCCTGACTAACAGCATTTGGCACTGCCCACTCAGTGCGATGCGGAGTGGCACTCTGTGTAATGAAATCAGCAGGGGAGGCTTTTGATCTTAATTGCATGCCGACTGCAGACTCTCCATCCTCGTCTCTGCTGTTGTTTACTGGTGACTCCGTTCTCGCTGACTAGAGTCGATGCAAGAAGCTTCTTCTTTCAGAGCCTTTCTTTAACCAAAAATGTGCCTTATCGGATAGGATGACACCTATATATTGTTTCTAAATTATTCTGTTGGTAACGTAGGAATATGATGATAGTACTATAGACACAGCAATGTACTTGGACTTGTGATCTTATGTGTGCTGTCTAAAACCGCTAGATGCGCCGTTGCAGCCGTTGGCGTGCCGTGAGGCTGAGGACATTTCAGTACAACTTCTTTTTCCTGGCTGCAGCTTTGACGTGTGCATTTCATTTGGATGTCTTTGGTGTGTGCTTACTAGGATTTTGGTGGCAAAAAGAGAAAAAAAAAAAAAAAGAAGAAAAAAAGTCAAAGATTAAATGTTGAAGAATGACCAGTTGGGTTTCCCTTGAAAATGTCTCACATTCCAAAATTAGACAAAAAGGGTATCCATGTGTACAATTGAACATCGCGCAAAAATTGTTCCAATGGTGTTGATCCTTTTGACCTGTGTTTCTAAGCTATCCTACAGTGTGTACGATAAATGACTATCTATACTCGACAATTGACTTTTCTTACTGCTGTGCAGTTATTTTTATTTCTCGTTTCCTATACATATGAATCTTTGTAAAACAAGTTGAAATACTGTATTCTATCTGTATACCCCTATGCATTGGATCCTACGATGAAAATAACAAAAGAGTGAAAAAAATTGTTTGTGCTGTTGTCGAGACCTGTTTGGTTTTTTTTGTTGGGTTTTTTTTTTTGTTGTCCCTCACTCCCCATTTTGAAACTTGTGAATGTGCTGTATTGAAAAAGAAACTGGGACACTTCACTTTTGGTACAGGACCAGTAATGGAAGCCAATGTTTTGTTTTTTTTCCTCCCCGTACGAGGCAGCTTCGAATATTCTCGATCTTGTACCTGATCCGGTCGTGCTGGATGAACATAATTTTAAAAAGTCGTATGTGTGGACGGAGCGATTATCCACATGTTTCATCATGCACTCCTCCATGAATAAACTCAGAGACATATATACCCTTCATATTGGCTGTGTTCCTTTCACTTGGACAATATTGATTTGCTTTGACTGAAACCGCTCTCATGCTTTATTCATCAGGAGTAACAATCACCTTGGGTGATAGAGTTGCCACAAGCAACTGATTTTTCTCTTTGGAGTGAATTGTGTGTTCTTCAAAATCTCTGCCACTTACAGCACCTTGCATAAGTATTCAGACACTTTGAACCTTTCCACGTTTTGTCCTGTCACCGCCATGGACTTCAGTGCATTTTAATGGGATTTTATGTGACAAAGTAACACAGTGCAGCAAAATCACAAGGTACAAAGATGGTACTATATGAATATGCTTTTCAACTTGAATATGAACATATTAGCTGTTTTGTGTTAAACAGTGAGTAAGGGAGCAAAGGCTAATGGATATTTTTAAAATTACCTTTAACCTCTGACAATAAATGATTCTAAACCCAATATGTTCCAAATGTAAGTCTGCAAACCAGTGGTATTTGAGTTGGAGTGCTTTATGACCAGGCAATACAAGCTAATAATGTATTACTTTTCATTTTGTAAGCTGCACTACAAAAGGAGGTTGCATAGTGCTATACGTCACTAATTCAATTAGATATAAATCATCTTCCATTTGAAAATCATTAGGCTGCATTTCAAGGCAGCCATGTGTAATTTTCAGGCTAGGGTTGTTGAGAAACCAGATGTTACCACTCATAATTGTTGCTTTAAAGATCCCTTCAACTTTAAATATAGAAAATTTAGATTAATAGAATTAATCATGCAGTGCTAGTTTATATGAAGGTTGTTGTGAGCGACCTTTAAAGGTTCAAGTCCTTTTTAATAAAGACGTAGGTGTCTGGAAATTTCTTTCTCCATTTCTTTTTTGAGTTGGTACTTGAGCTTAGAAGTTTAAGAATTGTGTAAAGTAAATCCAGTTACTTCGTAAAAGAAAATGCTCTCACACAAGTTACGTTTTTCCAACACAAATATTCTGTCATGTTATGATTTGAAAAGTTTTTAAAATCAGTCTCCATATGTGGCTCACCCTATGATGGTCTTCATCTAATTCCCACATCGGGATCCGATCACACTGCGCTGAATACAAACTTAAAGTTCTGCCATGAAATGACTTGTAAATGGCAGTGCAGGATCTCTGTCAGAAGCACAGAAGTGAATAAAATTGTGCTGAAAATATTCAGTGCTACCGACAGCTATAAAAGAAGTTGAGGGAACAAAAAGGAATTGCTGCAGTTGATGCACGTGAGACGGATCGCAGGCCTGCGTTTACTTAGGCTTTGTTGAAAGTGAGCAAATCACTGATTCAGCGAGAGATAAAGTAACTTCCGGGGTTTTCTGAGTAAACTTGATTATTGAAAGTACAGCATCAAGTATAACATCCCCAATCCACTTGCCGTAAATCAAAGACAGAGCTCTTTATACCTCTACCAGGACATGCTGCTTAAATCAACATTATTTGCACTTGTAAGATTAAACTTGGGGAGGGATGGGGACTGTGTCCTTCACACTGTAGAAATCAATACTGCTCGCTGACAATTATTATTTAAAGTCGGCATCTGTGCTGGAAATGCTCAAAGAAAATGGGTTAAAATCTGCATGTTGCTGGCTTCTGTTCTCCTTCCCAGGACGCTTCCCTGCACACAGCTGCCAGCCTCTCCTTCAGCAGGAGATCTTTGTATTTCCCAATAGGTTGCTTTTCACCTCCACGTTTCAAAGTTCCTAATGAGATTTGGCTTTGATTCACACCTCCTCAAGGAGAAGGAGGAGGGGGAGAACTTGGGAGAAATATAAACAATTATTGCGCTGTACAATTTTTTTGCACACTGCTCATGAATAATTGAAAACCACCGAGAGTGATTCTACAACTGCGTAAACACATATATCCAACAGCATTTTACTAGAAGATGCTATCGTGTCTTTTTTCTTGAACGCACGGCTATTATAAAGTCGAGGTGATCTAGAGTAGTCCAGCTAAAAGCTGACAAGACGTTTGAGACAAAACAATATTGTAAATTGCTTAAAATTCCAAGAATAATCCCTCTTCTAAATGTATGTTAACATATTTAAGAAGTAAATCGCAGCAAATAACTTTTACTGAAAATGAGGAGTGGGGGGCATTTCTGCTTCTGATTCCTTCATAGTGATTTGTTTTACGGAGCTGTAAGTACTCATAAATGTTGAACTTTTTCTCAGTTTTGTCGCTGTCCACCACAGCCTTTGAGGAGATACAGAAAACCACAGGTCAGGTGTTGTTGTGGAGTCTTTATTCAGAGGCCTTTTCAGATTCGCTGCAAGTTTGACTGCTACCAGGGGACCTTCCTACCCACTGCATCACCAAACACACTGACTCTGAAGATATGATGGCTACTTTGTTAGCAGGTATGTATGCATTTAGATTAACCCTAGCCAAAGAAAATGTAAGAAAATATTGTGGTTTGAATCCTTTATCCTTACTGGAAGTGGAATCTTCGTTTACCTGCGAAGGTGACATCCTTTCTCTTTTCCCATTGTTCACAAGACAAATCCATTTTTAAAAAATTTGGATGACAAAATGCACAAAGATAATTCTGTCTTGACTTCTTTAAAAGACATAGCTTCAGTAATTCATTGTGATGCCCTCCTCCACTGAAAAAGATTTACAACCACTGTTCTTTATCACCCATGCTGCTTTCAAATTAAAATTGGATATTTTTTCTGTGAGGATACATTCCCAAAATGAACATCTGTGGGCTGCTTTTACTGGGTTTCTGTTTTCTCTTGTGCAGTCCCACAGAGCCATGGGATTAAGTGGTCTGTGTTTTGAGCTTCTGCTTGACATTACAGTTTCTTTGGCTGAGTTATGAAAAATTGACTTAACACACACACAAAAAATCTTTAAAAATAACATTAAAAGAATACATTTTGAAAAGAAAATAGATGTGAGCCGGCTACAAAGAAAACAAAATCCACATGGGGACAGAGCTCACTAAAACCCAAAATGCCATCAAAGGGGTGCAAATCAACAATAAAGAGATTTAAACTGCTAAACAGAGACAAAGGGAACTGCAAAAGGAGGCAAAACCAGGGCCAAGGCAAAAATGAAAATAAACGTAGAGATATTCTGAAAATAGAGCAGACTATAAAAAGAAATGTAAATGACTTTAAAGATATATATTATAGCCAACAGGCAAAAACATGTAGCCAACTATAAATTCTTTGTAACTGGAGATTAAATGTCCAGGGAGGGGCAGAAAACCCATTATAAAATAAATGGGGTGGGCTCTTCACAAGTGTGTCCCCAATGCTTGATGATGCTCTGTGCACGGTTGTAGTGTCTTAGTGCTCCGATTTTATCAGGGTAAAAAAAAAAGACAATTATATGGTTGAAGCAGGTGAGTATATTAATCCATATTCCACATTATGTAAAGCACTATGGGAAAGATTGCTTGTGATTTATCTCATCAGTTGACAGACCATTTAACTATAACATTATACTACCTGGACTAGTTTGTAAAAATAATCATAGCCCTTAAGCTTTGTCACATTCTGAAATGTTACCAGTGCAATTTCAGATTTTAAATGGCAAACCAATACAAAGCTCACCATAGTGGGTGAGCTTTGTATTGGTTGGTGAGGTAGGAAAAAATGGCAAGAAAAAGAGAGAAAAAAATCTGTACCTTTCTTGACACTGTTTAAGAATAACGCCCCAAAGAACTGTACTGTGAAAACTGTAGTAAGAAATGCGACTTTCCTTCCCGTTGGAGAAATCTGGGCTAGTGGCTACTTAGAGCAATGACTGACAATAAACAAGAATTTTAAGTTTGTTTTTCTTTTGGTTGTTTGTTTTTAATAAATGCTACAGTTGTATCAAAACGTGACTACCTATAAATGCTATAGATTTGTAATCCGATTTGAAACTGTGAAATGTGATGCGCATTGCCTTTTTCCGAGCATCAATTGAATGCACCACAGTTGATTGACAGACAGGTCTGGCCAAACATCGTGACTGACAATCTAGCGTAGAGAGACGTTGAGCCAAAATCATCCAATCACGTTGAAGTGGGTGGGTTCCACGGAATTGCTTGTAGCCCGCGTTTGATGCTAGAATATGAATGAGATAGAGAGCTTGAAATTTCGCTACTCAGTGTTACTTTGACAAATATGAGCTGATTTATGCTGAGTAAAATCCGGGGAGAACGGCTAATATAGACATTCTGAGCTGGATCAATTGCCTTTTTGAGTTTTTCATTTTTACCGCATAAAGGACACTGGGAAAGGAAACCAGCGCACCAGCCTTTTGCTAATAAACATTAGCAAAGATGGGGAAACAGTTACTTTGCTTGGATGGGATGTTGAAATTCACAGGAAAATGGTGTAAACGGACCACATGAGGAGGACTAACAACAACCTTTTATCTTGGTAAGGAAACTGGGGTTTACAAAACTAATATGCTGTTCGTAGCAGGAAGCGACGGTTGGCATTGCTAACACGTAGCTAGCAGCGGCTAGCTGCAGCCTGAACTACCAAGAAGCTTTCCATGTATTTACAGTTTTCCTTGTGAGCAAGTTAAACATGTAAGACTGTTTTTGGGTTGTCCTGTGTTTGAACGTAGTGACAATACATTATACTCTTGTTTTTCCATTTTGACCGTCAGAGCAGCATGTGTGAGATGTTGCTGTGCTTAACTCACCTGATTCATACGATTGCAGCTCTGCAAAAGCCTGATAATCAGTATGCAATTAAATTTAGGTGTGCTGAGCCAGGAATAAACATCTGAAACACGCAGGACAGCGTGCCTTTAGCACTAGGATAAATAACCCTCCCCTCACTGCATTGAACAGAGTTTATCAGATGCTTACGTCTACTAATTGTGAATATGAATATCATGCTTGGCTTGACTAAAAATTGTTATGGTCAGAGCTGATTGGCCATGCAAAGTTTAAGGGGACGAGTTAAGATGAGCCTCTTCGATCTAAGAGCAGTCTTAAGCATAGGGTGGCAGCATTATGCTGTGGGTCTGTTTCACTTGCCAATGATATTGACATATTGTACAAAGTGGTCGGAGTACTGAAGACCTAATGTCACCTCAAATAAGCTCTACCAATTCTGATAAGAGTAGTCACACATTCAGACAGATGCATATCGATGGCTGTGAGACACTTTATGTCACTTTTATACAAACAATGGCTCAAATACATCGTTACAAGCCAAACTATTGTGACATGTGACAAGTCTGTAAACTTCCAGTGGCTGACATTACCTGCTATAGAACTTGCATATCCAACAACTTTATGTTAGAAATATTTGGGCCTGTTGCATGTTGTGCTCGTTGCAATTCAGTTATGCTCCTGAAAGTGAGCCAACTGTTCGTCTAAAGTACAAACGACTTGTGAAAGTTTCTATGAACATGCTATGACAAATATAGGTAGTGATCTATTGTGCTTTGCACTTCAAAGATTTATTTTCCACAAAATAACAAATATGTTTTGTTTCCCCCACCCCTCCAAGCGTCTAAGACAGCAGTGCCATCATGTATTCGAGTTCAAACAATCCCTCAAAGGCCAACTCCAGCAGCAGCAGCATCACAGAGCTCCTGAGCGCCCTGTGTGACTGCAGCCTCTCTGGGGTCTCTTGGAAGCGTCGGGCCCTCGGAGGCGTTTCCAGAGAGGGCTTCCACCGAGCCCTTAAAAAGCGGGCCTACGGCGCTTTGCTGTCTAAGCTTTTTCAAGATGGCACCAAAGGGTCTGCCTCAAGACCCAGTGCCGCGGCCAGAACCCCACCCAGGAACAAAGTCCTGATGATGTGCTTTGACTTGCGAGTGGCCGGCTGCCGGGAAGAAGCAGAGGCCCTGGAGGATCTACTGGGGCGGCTGCGTGAAGGAGCGTCCTCCGGGCTGAAAGAAGTAGACTCCGTCCTGGAGCTCCTAGTGTGCCTCGCCGGCTCCGCGCCGCCGCCTCCCACCTCTTTCAGCAGGGACTACATGAGACGAGAGAGGGCTGTGCTACGGAGGCCGCAACCCTGGAGCTACCAGAGCGAGGAGCTGCAGCGGCTGGAGGCCAGGGCGTGGGGTCTGATGTGCGCGGAGGAGTGGGGGACTCTGGAGACTCTGTGTGGAACTCAGAGGCTGATGGACTCCCTGCCAAGGACAGGGTTGCTGGCTTTGAGGATGAAAATGGAAGCAGAAGAGAGATTTGAGAAGGAGACGAGGATGTCGTTGTTTGGAGCGCTGCAGCACACTCGAACATCAGATTTGGACATCAGACTGGACCTCCCGCCTATTCCCAGTAATATTGATGTCACTGGACTGGCTATCAGGGTAGGTGACCCACAGTTAAACTCAACTTTTGAGCGGTTTCCATATAACACACCTGCTTTACACATATTTTATGTCACCAGGTTCAAATTTGCACCCTTTTAACTTGGGATTCACTGACCCGATTTTAATATCTGAATTATATTATATATATTAAAAAAAAATTTGTTCAGGTATCTGTGACAATGAGACTGATCCATAAGGGCACATCTATTCACTCTAATTTTATGACTTGTGTTCTGAGCCACATAAACTTTTGTTTATTTTACATTATATTGTAGAATTCCTAATAGGACTTTCTGAACCATTTATCAAAAGTTTTGTTGCAGTTTCTTTACATTTCCTGTTATACTCCTGATTACGCTAACTGGACAAATGAAAGTTGTTGGTTTTACCTTTTTGACAAAGCTTGTGAAACTATTAGTGGTTTTATATGTGTAGTACTGGTGAAGAGTTGTCAAATAAATTAGTAATTCAGTACATTTATGTCTGTTTAAAAAAAAAATTTGTTTAGTCACTTCAGTACCGTTTTTCTGGTTTGCATTGTTATCTACGATACTAAACCTCAGATATCTGTATCGGAAGTGAAAATGGTACATCTCCAAAAATGGAGATGCACCATGCATTTTACTGACTATCTGCTGTGTGTCCTGCGCAGGTTCCTCACTACTTGGATCAATCTGAGGACGAGGGCTTCCAGTCAGCCTCCAACCTGACCCCAGACTCTCAGTCAGAGGCGAGCCCCGTTCCAGATGTTGACATCTGGGAGGCTGTCCGCACATTTGAGCCCAAAAGACGCCGCTGCTGGGAGTCTGTTGGCTGGTAAATGATCCGTTTACTAATTATACAAGTACATCTCAATAAATTAGATTCTCATTTGAAAAGGTAAGGTATTTCAGTAATTCAGGCAGTGAAACTCTGAAGGAGTGATGGATTTCTCTCATTTTTCTTTTAGTTTTCCTTCCTTCACACATTCATTTCTGTCAAGTTTGATGGATATGGTTTATTGCTAATACCCAGCTCAAAATTCACTTTGTAGAAATATTAGAATATAAGACTGATATATTTTTTCAGATTTTTAATATAAAAAATGTGAACCTGCTTATGCCTCTGTACTGTACGTCATAAGTTCTGTGACTCTTAGGAGTTCAGAAAGCCCAGGTTGCTTTTCCAACAATCACTATTGAGGCCTCCTGCAGCCGAGCGATCAGCTCAGTTCATGCATGTGAAATATTGAGTTTGTATATGTAGACATGCAGACGTCGACTAGCGGCGCAACACAAGAAAGAGGACAATGTTCAACATTTGTCACTGGGGTCGCTATGACAACCCTGGGTGGTGGTGGCTTTGGCCCGTCGTTTGTCGTTCCCTGTGTGTTGTATTCAAGGAGAAGTGAACTCTCACATCAGTTACTTGGCAGATTCGTGGTTTCCTACCACAGAGCGAAGCATGAAAACCTCGTGAGGATCAGTGGCCCAGAGAACAGCGGTTTAAAAGCCAAAAGTGACAGCTGCAGTCTGGGAGCAATTTGGATTCAAACCTAATGACCGTGGTGCACCACATCACCTGCATGTTGTTAAACAGTTGCAACAACAACAACAAAAAAATGCATCTGCACCTAAAGCCTAATCATCTGATGCAGGTTTTCCAGCTTGGAGGGAGAAAAACAAATCCATTACCTATGGGCTGTTTCTGTCTTACTGACTGATAAATCAGTGTACTCTATAACTAATATATTTTGAAAGGCAAGTTTGTTTATGCCTTCAAAGAGACATTATCATTTATTGCAATAATTTCTCGGCCATTTTATCATCTGGCAAAGTTTATTGTGACAGGACTACTTGTCTAAAGTTATATTCTTATTTTCTGAGAAAAGAAAATGTGGGTTTTAATCCACTGTAAACTGTTTTGTTTTTGAAAAAAAAAATTATGTTAGTTGGAAAAAAACACTTTAATTTAAAAAAAATAATTGACAATGTTTGTCCCACTAGTCCACCAGGAAAAAGGGAGTCCTTCTATCTGACTGAGGGAGGCAGAGAGACGTTTGACCAGCTCTATCGGCTGTGGGAGGGAGAGATGAGGGTCGTGAGCTCCGGCGACTCCACTCCTATCCTCATGCTGCCCCTGGACTCCCAGACGCAATTAGTCTCCGACCTCCTGAACGTTCTGATAGGAGTGGCGTCCACCACCTTCCCTCTCAACCAGGTGCAATTCATCACCATTTGTTCGTCTCTCGGAGATCCACTTAAATGCAATCATTTCCTTTTTCACACTCTGCCAGTGCACAGCTCACACACAAAAAAGAATCAATGTGCAATTAGTCTATGAGATATAAACAAACACAGTTCCTTTAAAAAAAAAAAAAAAAAAAGCCCATTACAACGACTTCCGGAGAACCGAGCCAAATCGTATCAAGGCATTAACTTGATTAAATGATGAAGTAAATTGCAGTGTTCCTCATGTTAAAACCTAAACCACAGGAGAGAGCAGCAGTTGCTTTATTGTGCCCCATTAAGTTCTTTTTTTCTGTTTTAGGAAGGTTGTAGACTTGTCTTACAATATAAATTACATCACGATTCTCCTGATTTCCCCCGGCCCCGTCCTTATCCTGTTACTGCAGGAGATACTTGACACTGACATACAGTGATGTGAAAAGGCTGAAAGCACTTCACGTTTGGCTTCAGAAGAATCAGAATCAGAATGTTGTTTTTAGCAGATTTTTAAAGCATTTTATTAGATATTGCTTAGATGAGCTTTTAAAGTAGTAAGAGACATGAAGATAAATGATCATAAAAATATGAAATAAATAATAACTGAACAAACTGATAAGATAAACTGTGAGCACATTGAGCTTATCTTATTAGTTTGTTTAGTTATAATTTTTTTCATATTTTGTGTATTTTTTCCATAAGGAAAGCCTGCAACCTATTAAAAATGGGTTAATGTCCATCTTTTGGGTTGTAATTCACTATTAAAGAGTAATTTTTTTTAATAAGTGATTTTAACATTAGCGGGAAAAAAAGTAACAGTAAAATGGCTTCATCATTCTCAATATAATGAAGTATTTTCCTGTTTTGCATCCCTGTTCAAGTTCAAAGATTTTGTGGAGGTGGGATGCTAACTCTTAAAGTTAAATGTTTGAAAAGTCAACATTAAAGTTGGTCTTTTTATAGGCAAAATTTAAAGAAATGAAATACGACTCAAGAACCCTCTTCAGAAAACTAACATGGCACAGTGTGGCCAACAGTAATATTAGACCTTACTTTAATATCTGGAGTTAATGTGTAATCTTTCTTATTTATTTTTTGCTTTGGTGACCACTTGTTTTTTATAACAGCAGTGGCCTTTGTGATTGCAAAATATTGTCCGTGTTGATTTTGTTTTCCCCAGAAGACTGCTGCTTAGAGACGCAATTTCTAGTTCTCATAAAACTTCTCCTTATATAACCTAATAAAAGAACCTCACCGATTGTTCCTTCAGAAGTCATGCAGGAGGTGACTCCTCCTTCACCCCTGAGTTTAATTTTCTGTGTGCTACAAGTATGGCTGATTTTTATTAGGCTATCCTGCGCTTTTAAAGGCCTTTTCTAAATGTGTGTTTTCTACTCCAGAGCGTTCAGTTTGACGTCAGGCCTAGCGTGTGCGTGTCGGGAGCTTCTCCAGAGAGCGTGTCTCGTCTTCTGGGGGAGTTGGCCCAGTATGGCACCCACTACCTGAGGCTGAGTCGCTTTTCTCTCCAGAGTGCTGACAAGAAGGGCCTAGTCTTCCAGGTATGTTGGTATAATTACCATTAATTAATGCCTCTGGGGCCACATGTTTGCCTCCTCTCATATTTTGCACTAATGTCAGTGTTGCACCCCGTTGTGTTCATCAATTTGGAAAGTTTTAATCGTCCCTTAAGGGACAATTAAGGACAAGCAAGCACAAATAGACACAGTCTATTAATGACAATAGAAAACTCTCTAAAAATGCAAAGGAGAAAAGCAGAGGAGCAACAGAATTCATTAAAAGCACAAAAATACACAAAAGTTCAAGCGTTATCATTTATCATCAGTCGAGGTTGATTTATCATTTCATCTGCAGGCAAGAGTGTGCACAGTGGTAAATCATTTCACATTTCAAGAAGAAAGCCATCGTTGAAAGGCAAAATAAGTTCTATTTTCAACTTACCATGTTGGGGATTCGGCGAACAAAATGTCCTCTGGTCAAATTAGAATTACATTTAACCAGTTTTCCGACATGCAAAACGCGATGTCGACCGGAAATGTGATGTGCGCATCAAGCTGAACTCATAAAACATGGTGCTGGCAGCATCATGCTGTGTGGATGGTTTTCTATAGAAGATGAAAGGAGACAATCCTGGAAGAAAACTTGTTGGTAGCAGTAAAAGCAAAAGGGGGTTCCACAGAGGTTTGACTTAAAACGCTCAATACCAATTCTGCTAAATTTGTTACATTTTTATTTGTAAAAAAAAAAAAAAAATCTTGGGCTCTTTATCATGTTAACTATTTATGTTGTTTTTGGTTTGTTTTTTTTTTTTGATAAAATAAATTAACACAATGGCTAATTTGAAAAGTGTTCCTCCGTGTTGCTGTATCTCACTTCCACTTGCTCAGTCAATGAATAAAAAAAAAAAAACTATTGAATTTCACTTTATATTCTATATCTGGTTTCAAAACAAAGCAGAAATGGTCTGTTAGAACAAAACAATAAAAGTCCCTATTTTATAATAAAGATGGATTCAGTCTTCAATTAACTCTTGAATATAGGTTTCCTTGAAACATGATTAATTGTGACTAATTAGTTAATTTTTACCAATCAATTAACAGGCATAAAAAATAAGATTATTTCTCTCCACTTTGCAAACATCCTCTACTTATTACTTAAAATCCCAATACAATACCTCAACATTTCTTGTGATGTGAAGAATGATATCCATGGGTATAATTACCTTTGGAAGTCGCTGCATGTGACTAATAATTTTTCTCGCCCAAGGCGTTCACCGGTGGTCTGAGGAAGTATCTGCATTACTTCAGAGCTTGCGTTCTCAGCACTCCCCCCACTCTCAGCCTGTTGACCATCGGCTTCCTCTTCCGCAAAGTGGGCCGCCAGCTCAGGTCAGACCACACCTCCTTTTTTGATCTTCTGTTTTCTACTGATGTTTTTTTTTTTTTTTTTAACTGCTTTTGACTTCAACCTCACGCTGGCAGAGAGTTCTGAGAGCAAGCAGCTCACCACAGACGTCACCACATCACAAACTCCCTTCCCTCACTCTCTCTTTTTGTCCAAAGGTACCTGTCGGAGCTGTGCTGTGTGGACGGACCGTCGGGCTCAGGCCAGGCCGCCTTCCCTGTGGTGAGGGCTCTTTTATGTGCACACTGCAATTTGTCATCCATCAGGGCAGTGTTTAACCTTCCAGATGAGATGTCAGATTGCTTCATGTCGCTCTCCTCAGGGTGTTAAGCTGCTGTCCTACCTCTACAATGAAGCCCAGAGTAACTGCAGCAACGAGAACTATCCCATCCTGCTGTCCTTGTTGAAGAGCTGCTGTGAACCTTACACACGGTTCGTGACTGAGACGCGCTCGAATCCAAAGACGCGCAGGAGTCGTTTGAACTAACAGGGTCTTGGCTCTGCTTCGTTCAGGTTTGTGTCCGACTGGGTGTACAGCGGCGATTTTCGAGACGTTTGTGGAGAATTCATGATCCAGGTCAACGAGGATTACCTCGGTTTCAGGGGTGAGATATCTCGCATGTATAAAAACAGAAGCACTCACACACACGCACACACACATAGCAGAACGGCAGACTGTCTATAGTAGCAGAAAAACAGAAATTCAATTTTATCCTTTATTGCCTAGTTGGATTTGTCCTTGTATCTATGAAGGATGCCATGAAGTTATTGGAAAATAATAAGCAGGAAACAGAATGAGTCCCAGCTGCGGTGGGGACCGGAATCATCTCCGCTCAGAAAACGGCAGGAACAAACACTAATAAATATTATTGCCTTATTCTTTTTATTTAGCACACCATGCTGATTGGAGAGAGAAAAAAACCCCGAAACGCTTCGTAAGTGGATTTGTCTCAGATTTACTCTTGAAAGCTGGACTTGGTGAAGTATTTTCATTTGGTCTAATTAATGGGTTCCATGAGGAGAAAAGGGGCAGAGTTAAGACAGGAAGAGAGGAAGGAAGAATAAACCCATCTGTGCTCTGCAGAAACTTCCACTCTTATCTTTGTAGGTCTTCATTCTGTGATTCAACTCAAGCTGTTTTTTCAATGCCAAGTCCTCTGTCTTTATTTGTCTTTTACATTTCAGTCATTGAGACTGAATTCTGAAATGGAGCTGATATTTTCTGCAATTAAGGAAAATGGTAGTAATTTGTTCTTCTTGAGAAGGCTAATTTGAGCCAGTCAACTGTTTCTGAACAGTCTGAACTGTATAGTATTTAAATATCAGGAAAGGGGGTTCTTGCTGTTCTAATTTCTGCTTTAGTTTGTGCAACATGGATCAAAATAAAAACTTATTGCTTTTGCAAAATCCGACACTGAACAATTAAGAAAAGTCCAGTCTTTGCTTTGAATACATTTTATTCAGCAGAGTAAAAATTCAAAGTTCAGGTAATTGTTTTTCGCACAAGCACAAGCTCCTCAATCAGAGTCACTTCTAATAATGAATATAATAAAACCTTTTTTATTTAAATTGATTGTAGCGATTGGCAGCGTCTAGGAGTTCATGTAGTAACGTGTGAATATGTTGCACAGAGGCCCATTTCTGATAGTTATTTTTCAAAGTAGGAAAGATGAGAACATAAAGTAAGACTGATGTGTCTTGATCCTCATTACTTGTTGTAAAACTTTTTTTGACACTTTCCATTCTCCTCAATCAGAGTGCTGATTTAGAATTAAAATAAACTGGTATTTCTATGGAGTCCGGAGAAATTTGGGAATTAGTTGAAGTCCTTTCTGGGTCTGATTTAAGTCTGGAAACCGAAAACAAAGAACAGGAAACTATTAATATTTTCAGACTTTATTATCTGTCCAATTAACTAGATGTTGAATCCAACAATCCATCTGTCCAATATTCTGCTGTCTGTTCATTTGTTTGTCCAATATCCATCCATCTATTTAATATCTGCCTGTCCATCCGTCCATCTGTTCAGTACCCACCCATCTGTTTGTCCAGTAACCCATCACTCTGTCATTCTGTCAATGATTTTTCAGATTCTTTATTTAAACACCGTATAAAAATCTGACATTCGTTCAAACAGGAGAATTGGAGTTTAAAAAACATGTCTGACGTGAACTGAGAAGACTGGAAAGTAGAGTCTGAAGTAGTATAGTATTCTGACTTGGAAAATATGAAGGAACCCTGTCTGCTACTGCATTAAAGGTGTATATAGCGGATTCCTTACCGTGCTTTGAAGTTCTGTTTTTGCCGCAAGCAGAGACACTAAAGGATCTTGATGTCTTGGTTGTGAATGATGGTAAGAAGGAGCAAGAGACGGCAAGTGAGCTTCACTTGCTCAAAAGTGAATTTTCTTCATTCAGACTCTCCCTTATAGTTATGAAATATAGCTCCTTTCTAGGGCAGCAGCTTAAGATTATTTTAGTGATTGGTTATTTATTGATTATTCTAACAATTGATGAATTAATCGGATAAAACAAATTTTCACATTCTACAGATTTTTTATTCAACCTTCTAAGCTTATTTTATGCAGTCTTAGAAATACATTAAAAGATTCAAATAATTCAATAACTTATTAAATTAAGAAAATAAACGTTTTATTGCCTAAGATACATAACTGTTGCATTCCTTTCATAAATCTGAAACAGTTAAAGGTAAAAATGTACCACTTGGCTAAAATATGTTTACATCTGTGCAGGTGTTTTGGCTTAATTATTGCTCTGAATACCTTATTTTTTTCACCAAATTACATTTTTGAGTCCATTTGATTCAATTAAAGATTAATCGATTGCTAAATTAGTTAACAATTGTATCAGTAATTGGTTATAAAGGATTAACCCGGTCAATCGTTTCAGTCCTACATCCGTCTCAAACTTACCTAAACCTCCAGTCAGAACATTTAAAAGAATTAATTTCCATTCAGGCCGAAATGTTTACCTGATCATTTATAGCCAGAAGAGACGTCAGCATGTTTCCCTGTCAATGAAAACCTGGCATTAATATTCATAAACTTCAAACTCCAAGCCACAAATATACAAGCTGTTTCTTTTTAATGTTGACACCAGCTAATAAATACAGTGAAGTATGAGTGATTACAGCCTGTCCAAACATTGCATGTAATGTAACATCCCATTCAAGGTCACACCATCATGCTGGCTTTGTCTGGCTAACCGTTTCATTTGCTCATCGGCTACACCTCATCAATTTCAGCCGCGAACCTCCACAGTTCTCGCTCCCGCCGCTTGAAGGACACGCAGATGTCATTGTTCTCTTCGAAACTCTGCCGGCCCAGGAAGCGATCAGCAGCAGCAAAGCTTTCTTGGCAAGCTGCAGGCTTTGTGAAAAGCGCTCGGGAAACTCGTGCATTCATGTCCTCTTATGCTTTTTGCTTTGGATCGCTGAACTAAGTGCTAACTGTTACAGGTGCTAGTCAAAGCAGACAGTTTTGTTGCGCCCTGTGAGTCATAGTAAAAAGGAGAAAGTTTAAGGCTAAGAATAACTCCACCACTGGTAGTTTCAGGTATTTCATTCCACAAGAGAAAACTTTTTTTTTTTTTTTTTTTAGCACACGCAGACATCAATTGGTATGTTTGATTTTCTGCAGACAAACACTTCTGGGTTCAAGGCTACACTCTGATCTCGAAAGATGTGGAGGACTGTGTGCCAGTCTTCCTGAGACACTTTGCCAACGACGTCTATGTCTGTGGGAAGACTATAAACCTTCTCCGAATCTGCTGTCCACAGGTTTGTTTTGCACATTCATAGCCAACCGTGCAAATGTGGAGGAGGAACAATTTAATTCACTTGAATTCTGTGTAAAAATAATATTGGCTTAATTAGTATTTATAAATTGTCTCTTCAAACAGGAACTTCATTTTCTTGTTTGCAATGAATTCATTAAGCATTTAAATGATCTGTTATTATTACTGATTGCGTTTATTTTCTTGCTTCCAACAAGGATTCAGTTGTTTGTATTTGCTAATAAATGCACAGACAGGTTCTGCTTACTTAAGGCACTTGTCCATCTGTCGCAATTATGAATTTATGTCTTATTTTATACTTAGAAAATGGCCCTTTAAACACATAGTTAATATTTTAATATGGATGAGGAAGTTTCAATCAGCAGAAAGTGCTTCAATATACAGGAAGAATTGAGATTACATTTGCTGAGAGAAAATATCAGAAATGATAAAACATTTTTTGTTTTTTGAAGTGATTCTCGCACAGAAGAGTGATATGGACATACTGCATGATTCACTTGATGAATCTGTTGTTGATCAAAAAAAATGTTTGAAGAATTAAAAATGTATACATTCTGAAAGGTTAACTTTCAATAATGTTGAGAATTTCTGAGACATTTTGCTTATTTAGACATACCGGTAAACGACAGCAAGTTAATATGAAATGTATCAATGTGACCTCATGCAAGTCACGTTTAAAGTAGAAAGATGAGACATTGATTGTAAATTTGATTGAGTCAAATTATTTCTTTAATTCAAAGGAATCCAACAACACCATATGAAAGTATTCACACCCATTCAACTTTTCCACACTGGTAGACCATAAACCTGTCCTTGCTAAATAAAGGCATCGCAGAGTAAAGCAGCCAAACACATATTCACATTTTAACTTTGTGTTGGCCTGTTGCATAAAAACAAAATGTGGGGATGTTCAAGAGGTGGGAACACGTTGTACTTCCAAGAAATTTCAGGTTATTCTCTAGTTGTTTGTGTCCAAATCCCTCCCATATGTCATCCCAGATTCTTCGCTAGTTTACTTTTGGATCGAGCGACGAAAAAGGAGTTGTACTTTCCGACAGCTGGTGCAACATATTTTGTTTATGAAATGAACTTTGAGGTTGTAAAACACAATGTCAACATGATGAGTCATCTAAATTTAACACTCGAAGCAGCATGTCTCCTCTTTTTTTTTGGTAGCAATAATTTCTCACCAAATCTGTTCCTCCACCAGCACTACATCTGCTGGTCGGAGCTGCCGGTGCCTCGCATCGCCGTCACCTTCTCCCTGCAGGAGGTGGAGGAGATTGAGCGGGAATGCGCGGTGTATCGCGGCCGCATGGAGAGGATCGCCAAACACAGCGCCGTCAGCAGGGAGGAGCAGGTAAGGAAACGTTTGAGCTTTATTTTTCAGAGCTTTAGTGTTTCTCTTTGCACAATCTGATGCTCGTGTTTTGCTTTTAAAGGCATCAAGCTAGTTTGTATGGCCTGCAGCTGGCAGCTGTGACAGGCAGAGAGGGGAGGAGAGGTGAGCTCTGGAGCAGGGGGATAAATCTTTGTTAATGATGATTTCTTGCCTGTCTATTGTTAGGCCCTGCGAGCAGAGCGAGCGCGCCAGGAGCTGATCAATCAGGTCAGGGAGTCGGCGGCTAAAACCCTGGAGAGTATCCGAGGTTAGCGTCACGCTTAAACACGGAGAAGAACTGCTTCTTCTACCGTTCACGAAGCAGCTGAATATACCTTAGACATGTGACATTGAATACACTTCAGGTGAAATTATACTAATCAGACTTTGCCGCTGTGTGATGACGCATCTTCCATTACCGTAAGAGTGTGAAATTTAAGTCACAGAGTTCACCAAAGTCCTCAACTCCATTTTTTTCTTTTCCTCCACAAGATGTAAAGGATTGTTGGCAAAGGAGGATGATTGGCTTGGGGAATGCCTGCTCAGTTGCTCTATGCACATCTCGGCTTATTTGAGTGCGAGGCACATGGCGGTGTTGTTTTGTGCTGCGGCGCGTAGTTAGAGGGATGCGGATGTTGAGTTGCTTTTCGACCAGGAGGGGTAAACAGCCCACTGTTATCTCCCCCACCTCCTGCAGGGCGCCAGGTGTCACAGCGTCTAGCTGAGGAGGCCAAGAAAAGGGAACGCTTTGAGGAGCTGAAGCAGCACCTGGAACAGGAGCAGGAGGTAGTTCAAGTGGAAATGCATGTATTTTTTTCTTTCAAAAAGTAGTTTGAACTGTGTTTCTATGTCTGAACGAATGTTCAAGAGAAATTCTAAGAAATATGAAATCTGTATAGTTTTTTTTTGAGAATCTGTAGACTAGTATTAGGTCAAACAGGATGTTGCTTGCATTTCTCTGAGCATAATATGTTCTTAGTTTGGCCAGAAAATTATCTCAAAAACAAAAATATGTCTTTGTTTGAAACTACCCAAACACAGCAGTCTGTTTCCAACCATCTTTGTTTGCAGCTTTGCAGTGGCTTAAAATGTTTTGACACCTTGAACTTTCTTCACATTATATCACTCTACATCCTAAATTTTTGTTCACCAAGGTGCCCTCAGAAGTCAGGCAATGTTACTTGTGGGAAATGTATTCTGAATAATAATAATATTTGGAGCTTTTGCTTGAAGGCTTTCAAGAATCTTTAAATAGAAGATTAATAAACAAATTGCAGAACATTCCTAATGAGTGGAACAAAGCCGAGACTTGGCCATCTTCTTAAACAGATGAATAAGGAGACCATGAATCAAAGATCATGCAAATTAGTGTTCATAGACATTCTTCTGCTGGTCTTTCTTGTTTTATTTGGAATATTGGGCAAACATTCAATATCTGGATGTGCAAAGCTGGTTGCAGTTTGCACCCAGTGACTCTCTGCTGTAATTGTAGTAAAAGGTGGTTGACTCAGAACCCAAATATTTGTAAAAATATTTGGAAACTAGTTTTGCTTTTCCATTCACTTCATCAAGACGTCAATACTTTTGCAAGACTCTTAAAAAAATGTTAAATTTGCATTGATCTGAGCTTTGGGAGCTAATGTTCTTTACACACTTTCTTCAGTGCAATCACTCTGTTGGTCAGGATGAAGATAAGACAAATTAAATACACGAATAGGGTAATTATACCTCCTTTCGAGTCCATCAGTTATCCAGGCTCAAGTCCCTGCTGTGATAAATACGGTGCCGGCTTCCCTCGTCCACATTAGCTCGACATTTGCTCATCTTAAAACATGCTGGAGGTACAATTTTTTTTTCTTCCTTTTTTCAGACCCTATCTTTATTTCTCAAACACCACATAGAATCTAACCCACTGGTTGCCCTCTTTGGTACCATCTGAAAGATTTGACACTCCTCTGACCTTCTGTAAAATACCATGCATTATTTTTCACTTCTCTCCCAGCTACGTACGGCTTTGCTAAAATGGAGGGACACGACCCCGTTCACCCACGCTCAGTGGTCCAGTTTAAGCCTAAAAAAGATCTCTGCCTTGGTTAGCGACTCCAGAGAAAAGTTTCACAAGATGTGCAGACCTTTATCCGAGGAATTTTTCTTCACGGTTCATACTCAGAACCTAACTTTCAACACCCTCAAGTACGATCCTTTATAGAAATAATGACGCTAGTTTCTAAAGGGGGTCAGATTAAGGAGAATGTGACTTTATTAGTTCTTTGAAGTACAGCACCTTAAATGATTCTGTTCAATTTGTACCTCAACATAATACACATTCTTTACATTTTAAAAGTATTAATTTGAATAATACTGTCTAAGGGGTATATTTAACTCTTCAAAATTTTGTAAGGACTTCCATTAGGTTTTAAGATTGTGTGACTTTGTTTGCAATAGAAATGTTTTCTTTGTTAAAAAAAAAACCCACAAACGTCTTTGCGGTGTTCACTGAAACTACAGTGATTTATTTTATTTTTCACATTGTTGTTCTTTTGGGGCCAGTATAGGGATCAGTAAACTTGGCTCATCTCTTGTCACAAATACTTTCCAAACTGACAGCATGCTGACAGCTGAGGTGAGACTCTGGCTGTGGATTTTCTCTATACAATGTCAGAATAATCTAAAGGGAAGCGTAGGAGATTAAAACATGGGCTCAAAAATGTACAGATAAACATTTCCACCTTAAAGAAACAACGCATGCATGCGCTTGTTTGTCTTTGTGCGACCAGTGGCGAAATGCAGCCAAGAAGAAGCAGGAGGACGACGACTTTGGCTTTGCCAGAGAGCTGAGAGACAGAGAAAAGAGACTGCAAGCCCTGGAGGAGCAGCTGGAGCAGAGAGCCAGGTTTGACAGCTTTTGCTCTGCCTATTCCAGCTAACCGATCCGTCCATGTTGGGCATGAACATAAACACTGTATGTTTACCATGCTGAAACGTCACCTTCGCGAGGATTGCATATGCGAGCGGCTAGACTTGCGCAGCATTCCCGCACAGTTGGGATAACTGTCTAATGCCACAGCGTGAGCAAATGCTATCAGAGCTGTCATTCAGCTCGACGACATGTTGGAAATCAGAGCGTGCCAACGCTGAAGGAAGGAAGCACCTGCCATCTGCAGCCTTTTAAGCAGCCAGTTTGCATCTTTCTACTCCTCTACCCTTCAGGAAGGATTTGTAAAATTAAAAAAAATTTTACACACCGAATATTTTTGGGATATGGACAAAAAAGAAAAGCATTTGGGTTTTATAAAGGCAAAGATTTCTATTTCTGTGGATTGTAAATGTTCCTGACTCCAGGTAAATGGCATTTCTACCCTCCGTCCTTTGAAATATTGCAAACTTGAGTTGACCTTCATAAAAAAAAAAAAAAACATTTAAAATATAATAAATTTAAATGTTTTTATTCTGTAAACTACTACTTATTGCTAGACTTATTTTTAGTGCCACCCCAGGCAGGTGCCCATATCAAAAACCACCACTAGGGACACCTTTTGTGCATGACCATCTCTGCTTGTCTTCCACATTGCTCAACTCTTTTTTTTTTTTTTCCTAAATATTTTCCCATCAAGCTGTAAAGCATGATGGGAAACTCCAGGTTAATATGATGCTAAACACGGTTTCTTGACCTAGCTGTTGCCTTTTATCTGAAAGGATGTCCCTCCATCGCATGTTATAGAAAGGAGCTGATTGCTCAGTACAGCCGTCTGTCGGAGGAAGCGGCTCGCAGAGAGAGACGGGCCATGTGGAGAGTGCAGCGAATGAGACTCCACGAAGCCAGGGAACAGTTCTTCACGCTCGACAGGCAGAAAATTCAGGTTGGTGACAAATAAATGCACAGAAGAATGGAAAAATGTGGATTTCTAATGAGGCAGATAAAAAATTATGTAACAGTTTCTCAAGGTTTTCACCGTTTTATTGAATTTTTTCAATTCAAAGCTTTTGTGTCCACCTTTCAGGTATTGCTGGATAAATACCCCTTAGGCCAGCAGAGCCCTCCCGTGGCTGCATTGCCATCTGGTCCTTCATTAACGCCACAACAAACTCACGTAATAGCTCCCTCATTATAGCAATCATTTTCCCGTTGTCTCTGCTTTGTTAGAAACTCACTTAACATCCTTGCTTACAGGAATTTTCCACTCAGGAGGAGCAGTTAGCAGACATTCGAACATCAGAAGCTGCATTCCTGCCACTTAATCCGTCAGCAGCAGACCCTCCTCCCATCTCAGAGGACTTCGACATCAGTGACCTTCTCACTAAATCGCTGAAGCCTGACAGTCAGCAAGTGGATAACGCCTTGGAGGAAATTGGCTCTGACCTACCTGATGCCCGTCCTGCTCTCCAACTCATTGACTATGATTTTAGTGCCCCCTTTAGCCCACTCGAGGGTATCGCTGGCCAATCTTCTTCTCAGTCCAGGCCTCGGTGGGGACCTGCAGTCCACCCTGAGTTGACGCAGCTCTCGGAAGATTCCAGCTCGGGTACAGACCAGGGTCAGACTGAGGCAGTACCAGAACAAGAGGCAAGTGATGAGCAGAAAAAAGATCAAACTATTACTGCGGGAGTTGAGGCAGACACTAAAGACCAAGACTCAGAGAGTGGAGATACACCTGGTGGAGGTGTTCCTCTCCCAGACCCTCAGCGTTCTCTCTCCATTGCCAACATAAAGGTTCCAGACAGAAGCTCTCATGGCCATTCATCTGATGCTCACATAAAGGTTGGACAGAATGTCTCCAAGGTAACTGCTCACATCCCCTCCCCCAACATTCACGGCCATGCTTCAGACTCGCACATCAAGGTGGGCGAACACGTGTCCGAAGTTGGCGCTCCCACACCGTCCTCCGGTGCTCACGGTCACTCCTCTGACGCTCACATCAAAATCGGGAAATATGTTCCTGAGTGTGTCCCTCCTCTTCCTGTCCGTAACATCCATGGTCATGTCTCGCATGCCCACATCAAGGTTGGCGAACACGTTTCCGAAATAGATGCGCCGTTACCGTCGCCAGGCGTTCACGGCCACAGCTCTGACGCTCATATAAAGATTGGGGAAAATGTTTCAGACATTGTGACGCCGCAGTCTGCGCGTAATATTCATGGCCACAGCTCTGACGCTCATATAAAGGTCGGGGAAAATGTTTCAGACTTTGTGGCGCCGCAGCCTGCGCGTAATATTCATGGCCACAGCTCTGACGCTCATATAAAGGTTGGGGAAAATGTTTCAGATGTTGTGGCGCCGCAGCCTGCACCCAGTGTTCACGGACATTCCTCTGACGCCAATATAAGAGTGGGGGAGTTTGTGTCTAATGTAGCAGAAGGAAGACCTCGTTGGAGCAAACACGGGCACACCTCGGATTGTGTCCTCCAGCCGGGTTGTGTGGTCTCTGGAGAAGAACCCCCATCAGCCCCTCTGCCTGGCAGCTCTTATGGTCACTCCTCGGACTCAGCTTTAGGTATCGGGTGCGTGGTCCAGGGAGAGGAGCCCAAACGAGCAGCCTTACCTGGCAGCGCACACGGACATTCGTCAGACTCTGCTTTGGGGATCGGATGCGTTGTCTCAAAAGCCGACCCACTTCCATCGCCACTACCAGGCAGTGCCTACGGTCACTCCTCTGATTCAACGCTGGGCATTGGCTGCGTGGTGCAGGGGTCAGAGCCGCCACCTGCTGCACTGCCAGGCAGTGCCTACGGTCACTCCTCTGATTCAACACTGGGCATTGGCTGCGTGGTGCAGGGGTCAGAGCCACCACCCACTGCACTTCCAGGCAGTGCCTACGGTCACTCATCAGACTCTACTTTGGGGGTTGGATGTGTAGTGAAAGGAAAAGATAAGAACCTGCAAAAGACAAAGGATGAGGAAGACAAAGGTATTAAAACATAGAGGAAATATTGAACTCCATGTAGGCATCGGTTTGTTACGGTTCAATTTTTATTTCTGTGAATCAATAAGAGAATAATTTAGTCGAAAATCAAGATGTACCTTTGTTTTTGATCCGTCACTTTTAAATCCAGCACATAATGTTTATGTCTCAGAGTTCTCAGATAAATTCAACAGATAAAAATAGCGAAAGTATCGATCAATCATTAAATAACCGTTGCGCAGCTTTTCACTGAAAACATTTATTTTTGATTGCAGTCACTATCCATCTATTTTTAAAGATGTTTGTTAAATGAGACCTCTAACGAGACGGAAAGAAAGAAATAACACTTTAAAGTCTGATCTGCTGTAAGGGTCCTTTTTAAAGTAATACATTTCAGGTGAGCAGCTAAGAGTTTCTTAAATCCAAATTGTTTGGATGTCATAAAATGGGGCTTTTCAGTTGAAAAGGTAAATATAATCATAGATTTCAACCTGTTACTGCCTTTTCCTCTGAAGGTCAAATTAAAACATTTTTTTTTTTTGCAGCAAAATGTTATTTACTTATTCTTTGGAGAATGATCTCTAAATTTCTTCAGTTTCTCCTTCAGGCAGCCCCACAGATGACAGGATGGTGTGTTGGACGACTGGTTTGTGGTTATCCCCTGGAGAGAAGACCCAGCAGGAATACCTCATGGCCCTGTCCGCTCAGTACCAGGTGGAACATTACGAGGACTGCTACAACTTACTGGGTTAGTGCAGAACACGGCTGAAAATAAAGTTCATATTTCTTTCAGTTGAGGCATTGCGTGCTTGGACAGCTATTCCCTCTGGCTTTGGAGGATGTGCAGCTGAAATGATTTTTCACTCACTTTTTTTTTATGATGTGAAACTTTGCCAACAAGGTGTTGTTTTTACAAGGGGGTGCAATTGATTTTAAATTTCTGGTATCAGTTGTCGCATATCGTCTTTGTGTTGAGCATTTATTTGACTTGCGGAAATGACGGTCATTTCTGAAGACGGTCATATGTTTAGCTTTGGGGGAAGATCGTGGCTTGTTGAAGTCATATCCTCTCTTTTTCACTCTGTTTGTTGTTTATTCACGCTGTAAGCATTCACGCCAAACTCAATCAGCATCTTTTCCAGCAAATTCCTCTTCCACGTCGCCGATCGAAGCCAGCAAACATAATTATTAGGGCCGGGTTTCCATAAATGCAGGGATGGAATCGACTGAGCAGGTGAAGCAACTTGCTTCTGGGTGATTACTGCTGTAATCAGTCTGAAACTCGCCTCACTACAGCCTCGATTGAAAAAAATCCAAAGAAAAAAAAAATCCAGACATCTTGTTTTAGTTATGTAACCTGCAGCTGTGAGAAAGACGTTTCCTCACCAGCACGCCTGTCTTCTCCCCTTCACAGCTTCGTCCCCCGAGTCCCAGCTGCTGAAGCAGGTAACGCGGGGGCCCTGGGGCCTTCCCATGGACCCAACGCTCCGCAAAGCCACAGACACCACAGCTGTCCAGCTCAGTGAGATGGTTTCCCTGCCGGTGCTGATAAAGCACTCTGTCACCGCCCCGCTCATCACGCAGTAAGTTCCCCTTCTGGAAGAGCACATCATGAGGAGAGGCTCTCTTTGCGTTAGCAAATTAATGGTTTAAATTAAAGGTTTATCATTATGCATGAAAAGTCTGGTGTCATGTTGACATCAGTTGTAAATGAATCCAGTCTTATTTAATTTAAACCTGTTACGATGCAGTTAAGAGCATAATTGACCCTGCAAGAATGTCAGAGATGCTTGTCGTTCCAGAATAACACAGCTGTATGAATGCAGACTTTCTAAAAGTGATGAGAAAGAGGACATATTTCTATAAACTACATATTAACACTAATATAGTTCACTGTGGTATCGGCCTACTTCATGCTTGGCCGAATTTTCTGCACTTGTATTCTGCAATGCAAATGCTTCTCTACATGATATGTCAACTCTGTTCTCAGTGTCTCCTTGGTGAATAAGGCTATAGTGGACTACTTCTTTGTGGAGCTAGGGGTGGAAAGGCACTTTGAGGCGCTGCGCCACTTCCTGCTGATGGAGGATGGCGAGTTCGCCCAGTCTCTCAGCGATCTGATCTTTGAAAAGGTGACGCTCTTTTGCTTGTACTTATTTCTGCGTTGCAAGATTTCTTTCTTTTTCTCCACCTTTCCTACAGTCAGATTTGAAGGAGCCGTTACAGCTGTTAGCCTCTCTGTTGGTGATTTGGGAGAGTAGATTTGCCATGTTTAAAAATGTGGACTCACAGGTTTAAGGACCGTTTTTGCTCACCCTGGGAGCACTTTAGCTAATGGTTTTAATTTTCTCCTGCTAACTATAATTAAATGCTGTTAGACTAGTTTCATAGATTACTATGTAGAAGAAAACAGCATTTAGATCAGCAGTCTGTAAGTTTTATGAAGAAAACATGCTTTTTATTTATTTGTTAAATCTGTCACTGTTTGTGCTGTCTGTCTAACCAGGGTTCCTGCAATTCAGTTTCACTTTTTTCCAAAAAAAACAACAACAAAATAAAATGGATGAATTCCTTCCTTGCTTTCTCTTTTTTTTTTGTCTTGCTGTCTTTCCTGCTTACCACCCACTGTTTTCCCTGTGATCCCGGTCTCTTGTTTCTCCACATTTAAAGCCTGACCTCTGTCGAAATCTCTAGCAGAAACTCGTAGTGAACTCTGAAGTATAAACAGCCCTTGAGAAACCCTGTTTCCATCTGGAAAAGTGAAGAATTTCTCCATGAAAAAGGTGCTGGAACCCTGTCTGTCTGATTCCACTGCTGTCTTTTAAGCTTCCTGTCGTGAGATAACAAGCGCAGCCGTCGCTCACACCTCAGGTCTGTTCTACAGGAACATTCATGTACATCTGTCTCCTGGGGCCCATCAGACAGAAGGTGTTGTTTATTCAGCCAAAGCTCTAATTCTACTGATTGGCACACCTTCAACCACACAGGAAGCGGAGCCTTTAATGAGTTGTGTGTTTGTAAAACAAGAACTTGTTCTAAAAGTGTTAATCTAAAGATTAGGAATATTTAAGTTGTCAAATGTTTGCTTTGTGACCTTCCAGATGGCCAGCGGCCAGACTCCGGGCGAGCTGCTGACCCCGCTGGTCCTAAACTCCATCCTCAGTAAGGCCCTGCAGTATAGCCTCCACGGAGACACTCCATTAGCTCCTAACTTCACCTTCGCCCTGCGCTTCCTGCCCGAAACCTTCCACCCCCACGCGCCAGACTCCCTCAACTGCTTGGAGCTGCGCTACAAGGTGAGCTGCCTTGATGGAGCGGGTACCGCGGCGACGACCCTGACATGGGCGTGTTCGTCCCGGCGTGAATGTGACGGCCTGTCATGTTTTGACAAACCGCTCAGAGTGTAGAAAACGAGCTTTATCTCTCGCCGAAATAGGTGAGCATCATAGAGGAATTAGAGTCATGTCATGCTCAGAAACTAATGGTGCACATATGGGCCCCAGCTCTCCTCTCTCATGTTTCCTGAAGCTGCTGACTCTCCATCTTGTTCCTCCTCCTGCTTATCTTTACCTCTTTCTTCACATGTTCTGCCTCTTTATGTTGCCGTGTTTCTCTCACCCCCTTCACAATTCTCTCGCCTACTTTATCAGCGGCTTCATATTCACACCTTTCTCTCCTGTCATCCATCACTCTGCCTTTACCTGTTTTTTTTTTTTTTTTTCCTCAACTCTCATTTCACCTCCTTGTTATTTCCTTCCAACCTCTCTTAGCTTTTCTGTCTGACATGGATCTATCTCCTCCAGGTGGACTGGCCGTTGAACATCATCATCACCGACAGCTGCATGAACAAGTACAACCGCTTATTTTCGTTCCTGCTGCAGCTCAAGCACATGGTGTGGAGCCTCAGGGATGTCTGGTTTCACCTCAAGAGGACAGGTGAGGGAAAGGCAGCTGCCGATGCAGCGCTAGTTCAAACTTCATCTTGCAGAAAGGAGGGATATGATCCTGCTTTATACCAGGATCTCCAAAGTTTATAGAAAGAAATGTTTGAGTTTTTGTATGATTTATTTATTCAAAGCAGAGGTCAAAGCCTCTGCTTGGAATAAAAGATGAACAAGGAATGTTGTTTTTCTGTTTTCTGCATAGGGTTTGATTATATTGATCTGCAGCACTTTGTGCGCAAATCTCAAATGGATAAACTAAAAGGAGAAAAACAAAGTCTTAAGATAGAAACGGATGATATTGAAAATATTTGCACAGAGCTAAAAAAACGTGGCCATATATCAGACATCTATTGTAAAAACTATGGTAATAATCGATTTAACACTAATTAATTTTTACAACTTTTGAATCTTTTCACATTTTGTCCCATTTCAGCCACAAACTCTTGTGTAAACTAGGATTTTATGACAGAGTGACACAAAGTACTGCATATTTATCGAGTGGAAGGAAAAGGATGCATTCATCCATCAGACTGGATAGAGAACATCTGTGAGCATCAATTTCAAGACTTACCACAGATTCTCAACTGGATTTCATTATAAATATGCTGAAAAGTACTTACAGACCAAAAAAAATTAAATACATTCTTAAAACCTAAAATCACCAAAAACGTTGTTTTTTTCCCCCCACATTCAAAACTATAAACTAATTATGAACTGTTTTAATTATACAAATAATGTGATTTGTGATTGTACATCCAAAACTTTAATTGGTTTTGCATGCTTCCCCTATAAAACTGAAGTCATCCAGTTTTCTTATTATTTTGGACTCAATTGAAGAAAACTAAAGAAATATTTTGTCTTTCCTCACCAATAACAGCAGCACCTAGGTCACTCTGCATTGAAAACACTTTCTATATTTAGCCAAGTTGTAATACAGCTACCAAAAGCAGATTTGTGAGCACCAAGATGTAACTTAAAGCGCAAGCCAATGAGTGAAGTCAAAGAGCATTAATAACTTTCCAAGGCACTGAATTTGCATTTATTGTTCCAAGAGTCCCCCGGGGGTCCATCCTGGGGCCGCTTCTTTTCAATATCTATATGCTTCCATTAATTCAAATTATACGAAATAATAACAGAATGCCACAACTATGCCAACGACACACAACTGTACATTAGTCTTTCACCAGGAGATTAAAGTCAGGTTCAAATACTCACTAAATGTATTGAGCAGATTATTTTCTGGGTGAGCCATTACTTTCTCCCACTCAATCAAAACAGAACTGAAATATCAGTGTTTGGACCTAAAGAGCATAGATTAAAAATAATCACCTGCCTTCAATCTGTTGGTTTAAAATGCTCTGACTAATTTTGTGTATTATATGTTGCTATTTTTTTGTCGCATGACTTTTCTGTCAGGCAAAAGTTTGAGTCGCACGTCAGGCGGTTGAGGCAGAGCTGCTAATGTACCCTGGTAGAGAGCCATATGCATAAAGCTGCTGCCAAGAACCACAAACAGGCCCTAGAAAGGTCACAGTTGTGATACTGGTGTTAAATTGAATTCGCAGTGGTCTTAAAGCAGTCCTAAAAGTTGTTATATTCAAGTTGGTGAAACCTGCAGAAACCCTGTCATGTCTTGCAGCGCTGGTGAAAGGCGCGGGCCGCTCGGTGCAGTTCCGTCAGCTGCAGCTCTACAGGCACGAGATGCAGCATTTTGTCAAAGTCATACAGGGTTACATCGCCAACCAGATCCTGCAGGTGTCCTGGACTGAGTTCACGGCGAAGCTGGCCACTGCCGGTGACCTGGACGGCATCCACCGCACACACGCCGACTACCTCAACAGAGCCATCTTCAGGTGACATCTGGAACTGCAAATGTATAATCCACAACATTACAGCACTGCAGAAATGAGGTTATATTCGATATTTGAAGTTTGTTCTAGACGCCCTGAGGCAATAGTTTGTCATGGGATTTTTAATTATTTATTATGTTTTTTTTATTTAGGCACAGTAAGTTAAGTCCTACTTTTTGGTTTTCTTGTATTTGCTCATTTTATTCTCCTCATAACACACTCATTCACATTCCAGTTGGACGACGAGGCTAACTTGCGAACCCGATGAATGATTTAATCTGCGTATGAATAATTCAGGAGAGGTTGTTACTATCACACCGAGGTGTTTCGTGGTTGTGTCTCGACTTCGAAGGTCATTAAAAAGTTAACTTTATTCTTTCTGTGACCTTTCTCTCCTTTCGCCCTCTCCAGGGGTTTGCTGACGGAGAAAGCGGCTCCGGTCATGAACATCATCCACAGCATTTTCAGCCTGATCCTCAAATTTCGGGCTCAGCTCATCGCGCAACCCTGGGACAGCCAGCAGGGGGAGGCAGTGCACCCGAGCTTCATTGCTATGCAGCAGTCGTACAACACTTTTAAGTATTACTCCCACTTCCTTTTCAAAGGTAAGACCAGAGAATATTGTTTCACCTCTGGCTGAATGTAATTTGGCTTCTGTAGTTACAGTCAAGGCAAGACAGGAAATATTTAAAAAAAAAAGGGTTTTATGTCCAGAAAAAAATGTCTAGTGGACTTTTACGAATCATAGTAACAGTTTCTGATCTTCCTGATAGATTTTAAAGTCTTCTGGCTTTATGGACTAATACTTGTTTCTTCCCCCTCCCCCCAGTGGTGACTAAACTGGTGAACCGAGGCTATCAGCCCCATTTAGAGGATTTCCTCCTTCGCATCAACTTCAACAACTACTACAAGGACTCTTAAGGTGCTCTCTAGTTTTCTGTTGTACATCATTTAATTGGCTGAACCCTCCCTGTGGGCCGCTTCGCGAAGATATGTTGGATTTATGATGGTGTTCAAACGTCCTTGAAATCCCACCTCTGCTGTCCTCCATTTAGGAACCAAACAGTAATTAATGTTGAGCCCTTAATGGTTTCCATGCACTTAAACAATCAAGGCGGCATGCGTGAGCTGGAGCTCATGACTGTTGTGATGCATCTCGTATACATGCGGGCGTTCATCAATGTACATTTAAAGCTAATATAAACGAAGCGTTCATGTGTGAATACAAAGTTGACATGTGTTCTGAGTCTGTTTTTATGTCAAATTTCTAAAGTAATGTGTTAAAAAAAAAAAAACTCCAAGCAATAACTCTGTTAAGAAATTACATATTTATTAAAGACTGAATGTTAACATTAATGGTTTTAGAAAACCGGGTTTAATTGAGTGCAAAGCATTTCAGGTAATAAATGTAGCCGTTTATAAAAAAGACAGAGTGAAGAAACACGTTCCTGCTAATATTATGGTAATGTACCTCCTTCACTGTGAGTACCAAGAATTTTTCTAATGATAAATGACTTACAAAGCAAAAAATATATCAAGGCTGTAGCTCTGCAGCAGGTCGCATACAGAAGGAAAGTTTGTTTCCAGATGGAATATTAAAAAGTTGAAACTAATTTCTTCAAGCCAGTAGTTTGCTAAAGAGAAAACACAAACAGCAGCTTTGTCATCACACTAAAAAAAAAACCTTCTTCATGGGAAACAGTAATCACCTTAGTTTGCATTACTCATGACTCTGGAGGAGTGGAAGTTTGCTTTACAACATCAGACACACTGCAAATAAAGATCAAGCAACAGAAAAAGGGAGCGGCTGATACTTGAGAAGGTTCAGTAAGTGGCTTGTGGTTTCTGGAGTCTTCAGAGTCTCATCTATTGATGTCTCTACCTTTTCACCTTCCACTGATATTGTGAATTCATTCACACAAAATAGTCCCAGATCAGGCATTACCTCGTACTTTTTTTCTTTGCAGTCGTACATGTACGGTAACTAAATAAATTTAATAAATTTAATAAATTCTAATTCCTCTTATTATACATTTAACAAAGTCAGTTTTTTTTATTTTTATAATCCATGTTGGCTGATTCGCTATAATTTCTCCTTGCCTTGCATTTGTCTGTCCGTCACCTGATAAAGAGCTAAACTTTAATAGGCCTTATGAAAACTGATATGCACATTTTCCAAAATGAACTTCGTCATGAATGTCTGGTTAATTTGGAACCTTTAAGGATGCATTTGGATGGTTCTTCACCTGGGGGGTTGAAGGATTTACAAATTGTATTTGAAAAACAAGAGTCGACTTTCAATTTCTTTGAACCCCAATGGGTTCAAACTATACATAGAGGATGAAATATTAACCCTCCTGGATGCTTGTATTTGATCTTTATTTTGGGAGGAGAAAACAGCACCCGGTCCTGGTCTATGCCGCCTCCCACATCAACAAGGTAAATGTTTTTTTTTTTTAATTAAGGATTTATGGCTAGGCTGGACAAAAAAAATTCTGAATGGTTCTTGTTTTAAAATGAACCGATGAAAAAGAACAACTCAAATGCATCACTTAAGGCCAAAACTTGTTGTTAAATTCATCCGTGAAGTGAGTGTTTGCTAACTTTTCACCTTTACGCTAACTGGTATAGCAGGAAAACCAGTCCTAAATCAAATAGTGTCTCTAATCCTCTTACATTGTTGGTAACATAAGCTAAACAAAACCATTTAATGTAACATTCACGGTCAGGTTCTGTTCTTATCTGTACAAAATCTCCATCGTTTACAGTTTATGTGCTGAAATAAGTTCAGACAGCAAGAAACATCCAACATTCCCACAGATAAGTACGCTTTCAGCTCTTGTGCTTTGAAACATGGGAAGCGGCCATTTCTGGGTCGTCTTTCATGCATTAATGGAGAAACTTTGAGTGGCGTTTCCTCTTGTACTGCTCGGTACTCAGAACAGAGGCTTTAATCTTCTACAAGTGGAGACGGTGCCATTTATTCATGAACCACAACAGTCCCTCAACACACACACGCAGATTAAACAGCAAATAGACACTGACAAATCATATTTACACACGACTCAGAGGAATGGAGCGTAGAGTTGTTTTTTTTTGGAAGGGGTTCTCAATGAGGATGTTGCAGACAGATTATCCTCACATTTGTTTTTATACAGAGAGTGGGAAACTACTTTGAGCCTGATGTTCATAAAGCTCACCAGGAATGCTTAAGATGGAAATGTTAAAGTTTGTGGAGAGAGAGGAAAACATTTTCTTTCCTGCCCCATATTTTATTGTTGATTGTGATAAACTGTTATAGTCACTGCGAGCAAAAGCAACCAACATTGTCTAAACTTTCATTTTTTCACTCATTTAGCTTCTTTTGCTGTATTAATTAGTGCTTAACCTTAAAAGTGCAATATTTGTTTCATTCAGGAAAGAAAAAAATTGCCGAAAGAGATTAATTACTTACAGGTTTACAAGATTTTTCATACACAAACACCCTCACACTATGAGAAGCTGAAACAAATGTAAACCAAAGCTGAAGTGAATAATTCATCACCAGGAACCAATCAGGGCGCAGGACCTTAGAGCGTGCATGCTGTGTAAAATAGTGCACAAGGAAATTAAGAACTTAAAGGAACCATACTAATGTAAGCATGGAACAGATGATATTGAACACCAAAGAGATGGATTTGACTTTTGCTTTTGGTCAAATGCCATGTCTTAATCTGGAGATGTGGCTGCACATGTGCAGCCACATCTCAATGGAAATGAACCCTGGAAATGAACCCTGCGCTCTTGGGATGGTTTTACAGTACTAGAGTTCGGGGCGGGGAGGTCGTAATGAAACCTGGTTTTTGTTTAGTTTTCTTTTCTGGAGAAAAAGAAATGTTCTAACGACGACTAGGCCTCAGACTCCAGGTCTTCTTGGTTCTCTCCGCTGTTCGAGTCGCCCGTCTCGGGCTCCAGAAGAAGGAACTTGCCGTCGTTGGTCAGAGGCATGTTCTTCATCAGCTCTGCCAGGGCCTCTGGATCCTTCAACAGAATCAGACCGATTTACTTCACCTGCTTTGTATTGATACTGTGCGAGTGATTCTATGGTGTAAATACATTGACTTACAAAACTCAAGTTTTCACATTTTGTCACGATACAGTCAGACATCAATATATTTTTTCTTTTGTTTGCTTTTATTTTTTTTTGCCTCCTTTACTCTGATATCCATAAATAAAATCCAATGCAACCAGCTCTGGCTTTGGAAGTTGTCCAGTTATGAAGTTTCTCAGTGGACAAGCAGAGTCATGAAGTCTTAAGGGACACAAGTCAGGGAGAAAATATGTGGAGACGTTTAAAGCAGGGTTACGGTTGGGTTCTAAAACTATATCTCCAACCTTCGAGGTTCTCAAATAGCACTGCTTGGTTCATCAGAAAACTGGAAGAGTATGGTGCAGTAGAGGACAGAAATCTGAGTCTCTAGGTGTCCAACGCCAGTAGATGGTTAGAGAGTTCTACATGACATTGGCTTAGAGTCTTGATTGCATTTATTTTCATGTCAACTATGCACTGCAAATGAGTTTGGTTTTGAAAATGTGAAAAAGTTCCAAGAAAATTTTCTTTCACTCTAGTTTACGTTCCAGGTGCGCCCTCTAGTGGAAACATTTAGTCTTCTCTTTATTCAAATTATCATTCACTTCAAACTAGATTATTTTTCATGCTGAAAATCTAAACATAATGGAGTCGTATCAGTCCTGACATGGCTATGAAACTGTCGCCTCCCTTTATGCTTTTACATAAAAAATAGAATTAATCAAACGAATCAAGCATGACATCCTGGATTTCGATTTGTCGGCTGTTTCCCATAATAACATATTTACCTTCTTTGCTTCTGTAATCTCCTTTGCCAAGTTTATGGTGTAGCATATCTGTGAATGAAAGGAAGAGGGCAGAACTAATTACACACTTTCAGCATGGGTGAGCATGAGTCTGCGCTCGAGCAGAAAAACAAAAACACGTATTTTGGATGGAAGAGGGAAGCCAAACCTTTTCGCCCTCCGTGTTGCTCTCGAAGACGAAGGCGCTGAACGACGGCTCTCCCTCCTCGTTCCCGTCACTCCAGTCTCTCCCCTCGACCACAAACCCCATCAGCCTCCCGTTCTCCTGATGGGCTGCGAACTGGCACACCTCTTCGAGCTGGAACTGAGGAAATAAAAGGTTTTAAGGTGGTGCAGACAGCATGACGGGGGCCTTTAATTAAAAGCAATGACCCGATTTTTAGGGCGTGCTTACGCTTATTCTTGTTACTTGAGTTTGTGGGTCAATCAACCTGTGAAGGAGAAAAGAAAATGCTTTTCTTTTAGGAAGTTTTTTCCTTTTTTTCTCCCACTTTCAATCGTAACCATGTTTTTATCGGTCATTTTTAAGAATGATACAGTCAGAGGCATCAAGACAAAAATAGCTTGATAAGTCAAAGTTTTACAAAACCCTGTGTTACATAAAGAAAGAAAACAACACCAGCTTGTGCTACTTAATGCTGTTCAACTGTAAAGTTTTTGTCAAAACCAGACAAAAACTATATTCACCTAAACTTTAATGCTAGAAAAGTGATTATAGGAAGGATTATATTGGGGGAGGCAAGAGCGCTTCAGGGAAAAGAAAAGGAAACTCATCAGTTGTTTGCACTCAAGTTTGTACTTTATTTTATAAAATTCATATGCCCAGTAAGCAATGGGTACATCTAGAAGCTCCTTCATTTTTGCCTGTTTTGATATTCTGCATTTTAAATGATTTTTAAAATGAAAAACTGCCAAAAACAGGGCATAAAGCATCTTGGTTTTGTTGTTGTTTTTTTTTATGCATTTATGATGTAATTCTTCACTCAGAACTACAAATTACATTGTAAATGGATCCTAAAAGAGCTAATAAATCAACTAATAAAAGAGCAAAACACAAACAAAAAGAACAAACAAATACCTGAGGCTGCTGCTCGTGACCATGAGGTGGGCCTCGGTGGTCCTGAAGATGTTGTGGATGGCGCGGGCCGCCAGCACCTGCCTCATGGCCTCGTAGATCACCTCCTGGTTGTTTCCGCACCGAACGGCCATGGAGCCCAGGAAGCGCACGGCGAACACCTGCTGCAGGAGGGAGTCTGCAGAGGGAAACAGACATCATTTACAACAGCTTATCATCAACAGAGTTGTAATGGGGCACGTGGAACAAGACTAAGGTTACCGTCACTCTCTGCTGTACACTCTTCTGTTTCCCCAAAAGGGTTCGTCCGCCTGTAACGATGCAAGCGCATGCATCAGCAAAACAAAGAAGCAGTTAACCCCCTGCATCGGT